TGACAACAGCCAAAACCTAATGTTAGGGGGTTTGCTGGGGAAATTCTGTATATTCTACACAAACCCCTGCTGCAACCTGTAATTTGGCAACGCTGAAAGAAACTGAATATAGAAAACTACAGAATGTTCCTTTATTTAGATGAGACACTGGTTTGGTTTTTGAAAAGACTGGGGACTGCGTATCATGAGTCATAAACACACCAGAAATTGTTTTGTTATCCCACAGGGTCAGCAGTATTGGTTTCCCCCTTGTGGCTGCGGGCGTTTATGGACAACATGCTACAGTACACCAGGTTTAAACTATGAAAGACAGAAAAAACAACAACAACCTGGTTGGTGTTTCGTGATTGGTAACAAAATGTAATCCACTCAATTTATGAGGGTTTGAATTCTCTTTGCAGTTGATTTAACATTGAGCCCAACAATTTTCACACAGCCCATAATGACTTAATGGAAGCAGCCATTACAGAAAGTAATTTAATGGTGAATGACTCAGATGAGCTCTCTTCTAAAATATTTACAACATTCCCAAGCTTTTGAGAGTCACACAGTCAACCTCTTGGTTATTTGGAAAGGTCAAAGACACAGGTCATGAGTGGAAAACAAATTATTAAGAACATAACATGAAAAGGGAGCTGAAGGCCACGCCCACTGGCATTTGTGATCTTTACAATTGTTGCGGTGGATAAACATGCAGGTGCAGGAGTCCCCCCCACCCCCACATACACTGATCCTCGCCATCACAACATCCGTGGAAGTAAGACCCCTCCCTTATCGCCTGTATTGTAAGCACCCGCCCACCACCACCCACTTCCTTGGAGCAGCTGAATAAAACCCACTTGGTCGTATGCCAAAAAAAGAAGTTGGTTTTTTTTTTATCCACACCTGAATTAGAAGGTTTCATCTTTTTCTATTATTATTTGTGCTCAATGCTCTCCCACCGTCTCAGCAGGACAATAACACATTTCATTAACAGTGTGGCAGGGATCTTACTGGTTTTGCCACCCCCTCTACTGGTGACAGTTAAATATTTCAGACTCGAATGGCCGGACTTTGGCCAAAAGAATTGTGTCATTCCATTATTTAATATTGTACTCCTTTGATATACTTTAGTATATGACTCTGACTGGTCTCTTTAACATTTGAGAGTTTTTGTCTATGTCTGCAACCTCACTGTACCTCTCGGTGAGTTTTTTTATTTTATTTATTTATTCTATTTATTCCTGGAATTTATTTAAAAAAAAACACCTTTTCTTTACTAGCATATTAGAATCTTGTTTTCTGACTTTAATGACTGATTTTAAGTAGTAGAAAGGTTTCACAAAAAATAAGATGTGTTTTATATTCCTTCTACTAAGACCTAACTTGTCCTAGTGTGGGTTATACTAGCACTATAAGAAATGAGCATAAAGACAGAGGAAATGTGAGCAGCTAATAGCTAACAGAGAATTAGGACCTGTGTGTTAAAACCTTTCAGTATCTTTCTTTGTCTGACAAATAGCAGAGAATTACCAAAGGACTACCGGAGAGTTTGTTTTTATTACAATGACATGGCAACATGACATGATTTCACTTTTCAAGAGAATATAATAAATTTATGACAGTTATTTATGTGTGAAGAAAGGTGCTGAAATATTTAATGGTAGAATGTCAGGCAGCGTTTATTTAAAGCCATAATTCTGCTTTTCAGTTCTCATGTGTTTTCCAAACCTTCACTTTTTATAAACAAGTCATAAATCGTATTTGTTGCCTGTATTAATATAATATTGACAATTGGAATCAATACAGTTTTGCAACACTGTCAGTAGAATGGCGGAAGTTAGTTCTGCATTGTCCAGATTGTTGGATTATAAACGTCCTATTCTCTGGTTCCCTCTACTGACGGAGCCACGTAATAACTTAATTACGGTGAATTTTGTTATTGTTTTGGTCTATCCTTAATAAACGGTTATGTTTCTATGGATTTATTCGAGAGACTTAGACCAAAACATTGCGTCAGGCTGAAACAACCTAAAAAAGATGTTTTTGTATAAGGTTATTTTGCAATTTCTGTGGCAGGTTAGCTTTTCTGTAGAAGAGGAATTAATTACAAAACATTACAAAAACAACTACTGTGTTGATGATAAGAAGCAAATATAGCTTTAAACATTGGCTTGTAGAACCTGTTGAGAGTTACTTTGATAACCTCAGCGATTCCTTTCAACCATAATAATTGTTTTTTAGTTCCTTTCAAATCTATAGATTGTCAGCTGAAGACTGATTCACCAGCCTGCCCTCCCAAGTCTGGATTGTCAGCTGAAGACTGATTCACCAGTCACACATTCACCTAATGTCTAACCTAAAGTAGAAGTCTGGGGATGGTATTTTAAAGTGGAGGAGGTTGGGGAACAAAAACATTTCTCACAGTGTGATGACATGAACACTTCAACACCCAATGTTATAGTCTTAAATAGTTGATTTAGCACTTCATTAGTTAGCAGTCAAGAGACAACACAGGAAAAATCCAGAGTACATGGGATGACTTTAGTGCCAAGCTTCAGTTCCAAAAAGCACGATGTAACGTCACAGAAAGTAAATGACAGACTACTAGCTTGTGTACTTCTGGCTCAGAATGTGGTGGTCAACCATAAACAGAATAAAAGACCCCACGAGTTCTAACAAGCCAATCCTACCAGTCATCAACCAAGTCCACCAGTCCAACAGAGGGCCACATATAAAGACAAAAAAATGTAACCCACACACAAAAGGAAAACATTCAAACTCCATCCATCGCTCCATTGGTTATCAGTAGGTATCAAATTGGTGATCTGTTTGGTATGAGGCAAGAGCCCTAACCACTTGTTGAGTCCACAAGCCTATTTGCAATTTGTCCACTTAAATAGAACCTGATGTCTTTTTGGTGAATTATGCTTCCACTTTCAGGGAACAAGACAAAAGGGCGTGTGAGTGCTGCCAGATTGAAGAGAATTTGTGAATATTCAAAACACTAAAATCAGTAATGGTCACTGTAAAATTGAATCTCATCATGCAACCAGAGAGTGATAGCCTTTTATTATACACAGTCCATGCGGTCACCGATAGAGTCAACCAGTAGAGATTAAGGTCTGTTCAGCCCTTTATGATCTGGCCCTGCAGCTCTCCACTAAGCTGCTGTTTATGTCTTGTGGTGAATTTGCATATCACTAACACGATAACTGTGGTTGTGTTTTTTCCAAGTGTTGACACAGGCATAAATCAATGTCCGGAGATGGCAACCAGATGTACTTCCGTAAATTTTTTTTATGTTGAGTATATCATTAAATCCTGATAAAAAATATCTTAAAAATATATATAGACCAGGCCAAAGATATCATGATGGAAGCATTAAACATTCTAAACTTTGGTAGGTATCACAGCAAGCAATGTTCAATATAGACCATAAATTCCCTTTAAAAAGAAAAGTTTAAAAAAAGGACAAGTTGTCAGCTGGCACCCCCTAGAGTTCAAACAACAAAATTCTAAACTTTTTTTGCTGTCAGTCAAAACCAACATCTCATAAAGATTCAGATAATTTTCACTCAAGAATCTCCATCAAGTTTGACCTGTGAACCCACAGAAAGTATAAATCAGTTTAATTTTGGCCAGGGTTGTTTTGTGTCTCTGCAAAACCTATACATTTGTTGTATTAACAAACATAAAAAGATGTAAAGTACTCATAGCCTAATGGTTTGGACAAAACATCCAGCATGACATCCAAGGTTTAACACAAATCTTTACGATTTACCTGTGTGTATTAATAAAAAAAGTATCTGAGGTCAATCAAATTTATTATTTTCTAAATTTGATAATGTGCCGATTATTTATTTTTATTACAAAGCAATGAATATGTTCAAATAATCAATCTTTCAAGCAGCCTGTATCATTTAAATATCTCAATAACGACGTTTAAAATGTTATCATATTAATTAATTTGTTTTGAAAAAATATGTTAAAAATAAGTGTTATTGTTTGTTAATTGTGACATTAGACAACTGTTTTGGTTAAGTACACAGTCAAAATTAAATAGTTTGAGTGTACGTTATTTTAAAACGTACGTCAGTATCAGTCAGACCAAATAAAAACATGCACAACAGCAGCTCCAGCAGAGAGCAACAAGTTCTGTCCTGAACCCAATGACACCACCAGCTGCAGTAAGCAGCCGCGCTCAATAGATGGCGACATTATACACGCAACCTTCCTTTTAAAAAGCGAGCTGCGCCACTAATGGAACTCTCGGATTACGTTTTGGAGCGCAAGAATCTGGCTTTTATAACAGCAGAGCGGAGGACACGCTCTTTATAGTTTCCAGTTCAGCTCCACTGGGCAAGGCCACACAAACGTGACAGAAGACCTGATGACAGATGGACTCGGGGCAGTGAACATAAGCAGATGTTGTGAGGCTATGATCTGATCAGAAACCGAAGACCCAACACCTCCCCAGGCTCAGAACTGAGCAAACACGCGGACTTACGCGCAGCCAGAAACACACGAACATAAAGATACAGGCAGGGCAAGAAACGGGGGGACTGAAAGGGGGGAAAGAAGTGAAAGAGAGTCAGAAGGCACAACAGGGTGAGGAGCACAGAAAACGAATGAGAGAGGAAAGAGAAAGAACTCAGAGCGGGGAGGGAGAACGTTTTATCCTCATGTGCACTCAGTCAGAGGGGTCACTGAGTGCAATTGTTCCTGTACTTTCTGTCAAAACACTGTGGCTACCGCTGCCTCTATTCATCTCCGTCCCATTTCACATTGCACGCACACAGGCATGTGCAAGTGCACGTGGAGCGACCGAACGCTCACAATAAAGACTTAGCAGCAAATTAACAACAACGCCACAGCATCAACGACGCTGTTTTCAGACCTGCGTCACTGCACCACCGTCCTCCACCGGGTTTACATTTCAGCCATTTCGTAAACATGCACAGCGGACGTATATGTGAGAGAGCAGGTGGTTCAGACGAACAAGGAAACGCTGTCCTTACCTGGTGGAGAATGGAGGTGTGGACCACCGAGGAGCGGAGGGTGGTGATGCCCTGGCTGACCCAGCAGGCGCACCACAGCGTCGGTCGTCTTCTTCACTAAACACACGCTGCAGAGGCGAGGAAGAGGGGCGGTCAACCACATGGTACAGACACATGCACGGAGTGCGAGGAAAACAAGAAGTGTTCAGGAGGGAGCGAGGGAAGGGGGGGTGGGGGGCACAGAGGGAAGAAGGGGAGGAACTGACACAGAGTAAGAAGGTACGAGGGGGGAAAGTGTGCAAAACAGAGGGCACTTAGGAGGGTGGGTGAGGGTGAGGGTGAGAGAGGGCAAGTGAGAGGTGGAGAAGAGGAGAGACAGACAGAGGTTGTTCAGTTTAGAAGTACAGAGCTGTTCTTACACAACTACTTCAGCCAGGAGAGACCGCTTCCCCCACCACACCCCTCTATCCACTGTCTCTGTTCGGTCTCTTTCTCTTTTTTTCTACCTTAACTGCCTCACCTATCGCCCTATTTTCACACACCCTACGTCATGGCAGGTTGTTTTAGGATGAATCACACTGGAACGTGTAGATTACTGGAAGGGAGGCGACCAAGGGGTTGACAAGTGGGGAAATGGGGGGACGAGAGGGTGAGGGGTAAAGGATGTACACCCCCCTTCTCTCTCTCTCTTTCTTTCTTTTTTTCTCTCTCTCTTTCTCTCTAACCGAGGAATCCATTTCCCAGGAAACGTGACAAAACAAAAACAGCACAAACTGCACCTCTATTTGCTGGCAATTTGCTCGTAAATGCGATGCCAGCCAGGGGCGATGGCTCCGTGGAGTTACAGGGAACTGATTACACAACTCCTCACTCTGTATATGATGTTGAAAAAAGTAACAGAAAGGAAAAAAAAAAAACATTTTCTGACTATTGGCTGGGGAAATACAGCCCGCAGGTTCTTTGCTCTGTTTTACACGTGTGACAGTTAAAAATGTTCATTAAACTTAGATAAATATAGGAAGAGTTTTTGTAGGCTGTGTTAAAGTATCTGTCACTCATGTGGCTAAAGTATAAATCATTATCTGTGTCCTTACAGTTGGACTAAAATTAAACTTGATCACACATACCACAACATCAAGGGTTCTCAAAATAGGGGGATGCCACCGCCAGGGGTTTTCGGAGCTAAGTCTGGTATTTCATGTTAGTATTTTACATGGAAAAAAATACACTTGATGAGTAATGAATTACATGAATTGATGGACCATACTATCTCAAAAAGAGGTGAACACTACATTCAAGAAGAAGAAGTGAATCATACTGACATGTGTTTGGTTATCAGTCTCTCATCCTCACTCTATAAGGCAAGGACAATAACCATAATTCCACAGTGGGGCAAAAGTATATACTGCACATGTATTTCTTATTTTGTGACATATTTTTGAAATAGTTTTTCAAGTAAAGGATAGTAAAAGTTTCCAAATAGCTAGGATTTGACTATTAATAAAATATTCTATGGTTTGTATAAAATATACAAAATACTGCAACATTTATATATACATTTTAATGCAGTAAATTAGACAAATGGTGAATGGGGTTCAGTTGGTTCCTCAGTAACGAGTTGATGAACCGTATTTGTCCAAATTAAGAATAAAATAAAAAAACCCATTCAAATGAACCGAGTGAAATCCCAAGGTGAGGATTCACTGGACTCGTTGCGTTACAGCATCAGTCTCTTGCGGCACTTTTTTTTTTTAGAAAAACAAGGGCAGGACCTCAACACTGAACAGTATCACATGTTCCCCCGAGGACTTCTGTACACACGATATAAAGTACAACCCACTCCAAGATCAAGATCCAGGATGAACTCGTCTGAACTCGTGTACCTGAAACTATAATGTGGCCACGTGTCCCTCTGCTGCATTTAGAACACCGTGTGTTTTGAGTGTCGGCACGCTGCAGCTTCTCTCAGTCAAAACACGGCTCTCGGTGTTTGCGGCTCACCACATCCTCTTGTAGTTTAGAAAATAAACACACTGTCCTCGTGCACTTAACCACAGAGGCCTCCCAGGAAGAACACTCCGACCTTCTGTTGGACTCTGTATGTCAGAGAGTACGTGTGTAAAAGTAGTTCTGCTGTGATCCAGTTTTTGTTGCCAATGTCTGTTTCTACACTCCACGCTCAGAGTACGGGTTAAATATAATAAGGGTTAAAATAACTATGTTTTGTTCTGTGTCAACAGTAGAGGGCGTGAGTTAATGGAACTTACTTGCATCGTATAATGCAGGGGTGTCAAAGGCATTTTAATTCACGGGCCGCATACAACCTGATTAGATGTCAAGTGGGCCGGACCAGTACAATCAAATAAATACAAGTGTATGTAATATTGATTATTATTATTTAAGTTAAGTTTAAGTTAATGAAAATATAATTTTACAAAAATATCCTGAACATAAGGTGTTTGTGTTTTTATTTCTAAAGTTCATCAAGCGGGCCGGTTTGAACACCTTGGCGGGCCGGTTTTGGCCCACAGGCCGTATGTTTGACACCTTTGGTGTAATGTGTCTGTGTTGCAACATCAACACCAAACATCTCTGAAGTTATAAATACTCACACAAAAGTTCATTTCTGATACCTGGTAAACGGTGTGTTTGATAAGGTAAATATCTCCTAACACACTACTGTTAATGACATCATATATTTATTTATAATTTTCATTTGTAAAACGTGTTATAATTTCGAGGTAAAACCAGGAAAGAACAGAAGCTTCACTCCCTGTTTTCTGTTAGTCAAAGTGATGTATAGCTCTGTATGTATTTATCCAGCAGAGACACAGCTCCGGTGGTATTACTGCTGTATCCACTCGTCTGACTTGATGTTAATCCCGGCTGGAATAGTGGAGCGTTGGGATTTTTTTTTTCCCCATAACACAAATCAAGGGCGGTTTCAAGCCCCACTCATTTTTTTCATCCACAAGAAACACTGGGTCTAACCACGCTGTGTTTGAGATTGCAAGTACACAAATAAACACACACCAAATACACACAAGTAGGTAAACAACAAGTTAAAGGAAAAGAAGAAACTGACAACAAACAGAAGGATACATGAGTAAATGTGTCAAAAGTTTGTAAAGACAAAAATACTACTAATACTACTACCAAAAATACCAGAAGCAAAGCTCACTACACAGGAAGGGAAGAGTAAATGGTGAATTGATACACAGGAAAGGAAACCACAGAGTAAATCAAATGAAATTTACCATCCAATAAACGGTTACCAAACATCTAAAACCCCCATGAACCACCAACAGAGATCTAAACCAAATCACACAACTCCAAACAGATTCACAGTCAGACCACACCGGGAATTCTTTGTTATGAAGAGCTTTGATCTGTTCATCAACTGTACGGTGGATGTCTGTGATTACCTGGCATCTCTTCATGTTCAGCCCCCGACTTCATCAACCTGAGGAACCTGAGGACCAAGAGCAGAGAGAGCTGGGTTAGAAGCACAGCATCATGGCCACTGCTGTGTCAAAGTGAAACTGAAATGGTCAGTTCCTAAACACTCTCCAAAGTCAAACATGCAAGCGTATAATTTCACGCATGGCTGGAGCAGCCTATGTTTTCCTGCAGCTATTCTGTAATCCTGTGGCTCTCACAGAGTCCAGCACATCCAATAAATCATCAGTGAAGCAAAAACAGGAAATGTAAAACAGTAAAAACTCAGTTTCACTAATATTGGCAGATGGTGCGTAGAGTGGAAATGAATATATCATAGGTCAGAATGCAGACCTGTGTGTTAGGAGCGTGTGTGTGTTTGTGTGTGTTTCCTTATTTACCAGGTAACTAGTAACATGGTTGTATATCAAGGTATTGGTGAAATCCACTAAAGCAATGGATCAAAAAGTTGGGGCAGGTCTCCACAGGGGTGCAGACAAAATTTCATCTTCTCCATAAATGTCACAGTTTGCAATTGCACTCTTAATTTCCATTGTTCAATGAAAAAAAAAACAGTTTTGTAAGAATTAATCTATTATTATCTACTAAAAGGAAGCACTTCAAATGAATTTGAGAACCACTGCACTTAAGGCTCATTATTCATAAGGGAATGGCCATGGAGGAAATGGGGTCAATAGTTTATAACAAGTCTCTGTGTGCAGAGACAGGAAGAGTTGTACATGTGTATTATTTTCATATTACATTTTTAAATTCTTTGCACTTCCAGAAAATGCACCAAAGCTTCAGGGTTTTGATCATGAATTACCCAAAGTATATCCAGTCACCAGGGTATTTTTATGTATACAAAACAATTAGGAATGTAAGACAGAAAAGCGTATTGACACTGTGAGAAAAGGAGCAGCCTTGGCAAAACATTTGTGCTCTCCAAATACTTTCTCTGGTTTCAAATCCTCTCTGCAGTGGGAATCACATTTCCAATATTATGGTCTTTTTGTGATGCCAAGGAACAAACAAGGCACGAAAGCACTGACAGCATGTTTGGGTGTGTGGTGCCATTCTGAAGGATAAACACACTCTAGGCACTTGACGGTGAGGCTGTAAGGCCACTGAGGTCTGGTTCTTGGAACTGAAGGTTCAAGGTTCAGAGGAAATATGAAAAAAAAAAGTTTGAATGTATGCATTTGGAGAGGCCCTCTGCACAATCTTCATATTAGAGAGAAACTCAAGGTATTGGACTTTAAGACTTAAAAATCTCAAGACTTAAACCTTGAGCACACAGCGATGCACTGTACCATTTCTCCATGCACCATCATTTTAACACACCCTGTAATTTCTGCACTTGTAAAAAGGTGCAACAACCTTTTTAAAAGTTATTTTGTATGCACCTCGCAGCTCTCCTGCAGGGACACAAACACGCACACTAATACTGAAAAGCATTCATTTTAATAATGATTATTTTCCACTGTGACTCTTTGGTAAACAGCCTCACAGCGGTGCGGCTGCACGAGGCACAGTAGCACAGCACTGCAAAAGCATGTGATTGCGCAACTGCTTCTACCAAAACAACACAGACCTGTTGAGTAACTCTTATGCAAGGGACAACGAGACGCTCAGCACGAAGCACAGAGATGTTAGGACGATCGACTGTGATTGGTTTTCACCTTCCAAACTAATAAAAACACTGCATCAAAGTACAGTAACACAGAACTGTTATCTATTGGATTACTATTTTAGTGACATGTTAGATAAAGATAATAAACTCACCAATCATTTAATGTTTAATCCACACAGCCAGATATGGTCTGAAATAAAAAAATCTGTGTTGAAGAGCCCTACTGGCAACAGAGGGTGAAAACCTCTGCCTATAAACTGCATTATAACATGAATATAGGGTGTGGTGATGGAGGGGGCCAGTGAGGGATAGAGCACTGATATAGGGTTGCCGAGGAGGGGACAGCAGACTTGCGGAAGACAGAAACAGAAAGTGGAAAAGATTCCATTATTTGTCTAGTGGAACCTCCAGGGAGCCAGTCTAATTACATACCTATAAATAAATGGATGTATTTCCTGGAGCACACTTCAAGGCTCCTCAGTCCCCTGTAGGTTTCACACCAGGATTCAGCAGACGGTAGAGTAAAGCCAGTTCCTCTCAGGATCATGTTTTTTTTTCAGGCCATATCTGCAGACAATAGAAGTCAATGGGATTTTTTTGTGTCCAGGATGATGTTTTTATTTTACCATTTAACATTTTTTATTTAGATACACACGTTTTATTTCTAAAAGATTCCAAAGGAGCACAATTCATATTTTTACTTTGGTATATAGCAATTGTTTACGCTGTTAGTATTATGTCTGTGTTTATGTGTTTGCACTTTATTGGAGGAGACAGTACAGTATAATACAAGTCAGTATTACTCTGTTATACCAGTGACAGACAGGAGAGGGAGCTCTGTGACCACACAATATATAAAGAACATGCCTTGATCATTTGAAAATAAAAGACCGAGACATGGAAAAGTACAGACAAAATTGAGCGAAAGTTACGTTATGATCACAAGACCTACACTAAAAGCAAACTACTCCTAACCACACCCCCACAGACAAGCGAGTCCCGAAAGACCAATGACTGATCCAAATAACAGTATTTTACTGCTGAATGCGAACCTTAGGAGGAAAATGTCGACTTAAACTCATATAAATTCAATTAAACGCGATGATGTGTTTAATTAAAAATAATTTACAATAACAACCAATGTTATTAATATGTTCTTCATTCTTACATTGCCTTCCCAACAATCTAGCACAGAATTTTGAGAAAGAAATGTTACGAATGCTATTTTATAACAAATGTAAGAATTTATTTTATTAATTGACTTATGTGATACCCAGCAGCAGGATCTATCTCACTACTAAGGAACAAAGGTTGCAAACCAAAATAACCAAACTAACGACCAAAATGTTAAAAATAATATATGAAAATATATAAGTACGGTAATATAAGTACGGTCATAAACGTAGTTTCTGTTAAAACAACATAGCGTCCCTGAGGTATCGGAACAAAACAAAACAAGATAATTTAAACTTCACATTATCGTATATGATTATTCATTAATTAATGACAACAAAAAGATAGCATTACTTCTAGTACGACATAACAGCAAAGTATGGTATGTAAAACATATTTAAATTATAATTTTTATTAAATAAAGTAGTAGTCTAGTGACGTCATCGCTGTGCGCCTCGTGTGTAGCGTCGAAACTTAGCACGTCAGTTGCTTCATGTTGCCGGCTCGTTTGTCAAACTCAGGTATGACACAACTAACTGTAGCAGACAAATGTTCGGTACTCTAGTCTGTGTGAGTACAAATATGTTGTTAAAATGGTCTGATCTGAAAGCATTTTAAGGAAGAAAGTGTCCGCTTCCCTGCTGGGAAGCTAACGTTAGCTTGCCAGCATTCAGTGTCTAAAGTTTGTTCACCAAGTTTTTGGCAGTGAATATTAAAGATAGTGTTGCAAGACGTGACATACTAAAAACGTTACCAGTACCATACACATCTGTGGAAAAAAAATAACCAAGCCTTAATATTAGACATATCTAAAGTACTGATGATTAGACTAAATCCTTTGCATTTATTACCATGTGAGCTCCAGACAAGCGTCTTTGATTGATGTGTGCGTTTCTTCCGCATTCTTACTAATGTCCAGGACCAATTATGGAACTTCTATGCGGACCGTTGGGTGTTGTAGCAGGACTGGGCTGTGGGCTCCTCATTGGGTGGCACCTGCGGGGACGCTTTGGCTCCGTTTCCAAAAGCCTTGCCGGGACAGAAGCGGGAAACAACGCGTGTGAGTCAAGCGTGATGGGAGAAGGTGGAGAGTTCAAGATGATTCTGGTTGTTCGAAATGACCTGAAGATGGGCAAAGGCAAAGTTGCTGCCCAGTGTTCCCATGCTGCAGTTTCTGCCTACAAACAGGTCCAGCGTAGGAACCCCGAACTCCTCAAACAGTGGGAGTACTGCGGTCAGCCTAAAGTGGTCGTAAAGGCCCCTGATGAGAACACCCTGATTGACCTGCTGAGCCATGCCAAAGATGTGGGACTTCCTGTCAGTCTGATCCAGGATGCAGGAAGGACACAAGTAGTGCCTGGCTCACGTACTGTGCTTGGCATTGGTCCGGGTCCATCTGATTTGATAGATGATGTTACTGGAGACTTGAAGCTCTACTAGTGTGTCAGCAAATATCTGTTGGACTATCTGTCCAATGCAAAAACACAGCTTACCAGGAGTTATACTGTAATGTCTGAATCCTGGAGTCCAATGGAATCCAATGATTTAGTAAAAACAGCTTAATATGTCCTTCATGGTTCTGTCTTGTATGAGCAACTACATGGTTGAGTCCTCCACCTCAAACGGAGAAATGGCTGAAGTGTAAAAATGAAAAACACAAAAATATTACTGCAGTTGTTACACAAAGATAACTCTGCATTCTCTACATTTCACTCATTACACAGCTATGACATCTTTCCTTTCTGAAGTGTTTTTAGAAGCTTTATTTTTTTTAGAAATCCACAGAACTGTACACGTACGACACAGGTAGACAGTGGTTGACAAACAAGAAGCCTTTATTGTTAAGTGGATAACAAAACTGCTGTTTCATTCATTATGATTTGATTATGCACAATCAAGGTTTTTGGTGCACAATTTAAATCTAAGGTAATTCAGATAAGAATATAAGTTCAAAGAAGTTGATTGATTTTTTTTTCATATACACGTAAGCCTTTGATAAAAACTTCAATATACCACAAGTCTGTGATAATGTGTGAAGCAGATGAGTGGGTTAACTGAAAAGTTAAAGGCAACCCTGAATGAATATGAGGAGCAGTCTTCTGAACACTCAACAGCACAACCAACAGGAACAAACTGCAGCATGAAGAGAAAACAGACGGAGGGCACGTTCGTCAAACAGCTCTGCAGTGCCTTCTGAGGTGGAATGGTCCCATGTTGGAGCAGAGGTTAAAGCACATGGTTAAATCATCTGACTGCAGATCTGTTTGGAGAGTCCTGCATAGGCTTCGGAGGAAAAACATCTTTCCTGAAATTGGTGCATGTACAATACTCTCTGTATTATATTGAAGAAAAAGCCCTGAAGCTCAAGTCTGGCTACTCGACAGATACAAGGTAGTGTTTCAGGACTGTGATGAATGCAAGTGGCAGTTTCATGTTCAAATATAAAGGAATTTCGTAGCGGTTTTGTGTGTCTGAATGTACAATAATTTTACAGTTGGAAAGAAGAAGCTGCTCACATGTCAAAAGGAAAAAACGATCTACATTATTTCTTCTTACTACAGAGTGCAAATTAGACCTTTTTTTTTTTAACTTGGAAGAGTTCTTGCTCTTCTCACAGGCCCCCTGTTGTACATTAACCCTTTCCCAGTCAATAAAATAGACAAAAGAAAAATAAACCCTATTCAATACGGAATGTGAGAAAATTAAACTTTGTGATTCAAACTTTTCTTTGATAACATAACGTCCTTCATGGTAGTTTAAAAGTGGGAAAAAATAAGAAAAAGATGTGTAGGCGTTAGGCCAAGCTTCCCGCAGAGACAGAGAGACACACCAATGGTCTGGTGAGGTACTGTGGGAGATGGATGGTTGGTAGCTCTGGACTACAAATGAAGAAAAGGAGAGGGGTGGGGGTCTTTACATGCCATAGCCGAAGCCAGGCTGAGGAGCTGGCTGAACATATCCTGCAGGTGCCTGGTAGCCGTAGCCGTACGCCTGCTGTGGTGCCACAGGTACACTGGGACCAGCTGTCAGCATCAGCTGAGGTGTGCCTGCAACACAAACACAGAGCAAGTGCTGAGAAGATTTAGGGACCAAGAAAGGTAACAGAGGGATGGAAGCTGCAGTGACTTGGAATGTCTACTGTATAGTGTGCATGACCGAAGGAAAATTACCATAGACAATAGGCTGTGTTTCTGTTGCCTGTTCCTCCTCTTTCCTTAGAGACTCTGAGGTTTCTAGTTTATCAACCTACAAGAAGAAAAAGTAAAGAAAATTAGTGTATCAGGTTGAAGGAGATTTCTTACAAACAAAAGTAATAGAAATAACAAAGAACGTGATGCCTAAAACCTAATCTTTTTCATTGTTAGGACAGCCTTTTAGACCAATAAAGAAAATAAAAAAATAAAAAAATGAAACAATTATTGTTACAATTATCAATATATAAATACCATATCGTAAATACTAATGAAACAATTATTGTTACAATTATCAATTGTAAATACTAATATTCCAATTATAATAATAATTGGGACTAATAAAAACAGAACACCTTGCTTTTGTGGACAAAGGAAAAATTAAATTTGTCCTCAATGTTAGATCAAAAAAGATCATTTTTTAAATGAAAAATATTCAGCACTAAAAAACCTTTTATTTGGATGCCTGAAGCAACTGCACACATCAGTCTCTACAGAAACACAGCAGCACCTAGATGCAGATAACTTCTCAAGCGCAATCAGCAGTGCACACGTTTCATTCATTATGGACATGTTCTAAAAAGTCAAACCATAATTTCAACCAGCTGAATCAATACCTCATGTATCTTGCACATGGAACCAAGGTTAAACCGAACATGAGATTTGGGAAATACTTGGAAAACAAGACTTTTGCTAACCCTAACCCTTTTATTTTTTCTAATTCTAACCAGAATTTATTCTAACAATCATCAAATGCATGCTGGTTAATTCTTGTCTTTGTGGTCATCTATTTATTTAAAGCTTTATGCTATTCCTGCAGCAGATTTTCTCCCAGACTACCGCTGAAGTGAGAGGGCATCACATAGTACAATTAACACCATGCACACTCAAACTCAGTCCTCATCACTTATCCTCAGACATATCACCTGATTAGTTACTGCATCAACCTAGAAAGAGAAACAGTATTGCAGAAGAGAAGACATTTTTTCGGTCACAAAAACTAGTGTCCCCATAAGTTTTAATTATTGATTTATTTAAAAAAAAGCACATCAATTGACACAAATTAAGCCACTGTCCCACCTTGCTCAGGTACTCCCTCATGACCTGAATGAAGTATGGCATAGAAAAGTCCATGATGTTGTGCCTCCAGGCTGTCTCCAGCACCACATCAGGTCGCAGCAGGTCATAGCAAGTGAAAAGGCAGGCAGCGAAACACTCCTTCTTGTTCTCCATCAAGAACCAGGACAGCAGCTCCTCTGCCAGCTCTGTGTCTTTGGATTCTGATGCATACTGCATGGCGTCCTGTAGGAGACACACAGGGTCAGGAACAGTCTCAGGCAGTTTGAGAAGGAATAGTAGGAGTAGTAGTAATAGCGGGAGTGGGATTAGTAGTAGTACTAGGAGTTGGAGTAGTAGTAGTAGCTGAAATAAGCAGAGAGTGGGGCATCACTAAAAACAGATAGACACCTTATAGAGCTTATCCTTCTTGCAGAGTTCCACACTCTGTTTCCAGCGGTTGTTGCCTTTAAAGAGGTAAGCAGCAATTCTCCTGAACTCAATCAACTCGTGCTTCTCCAAGCGTTGAGCCAGTGTGATGTTGTCAAAGTTGTCATAGGCATCAATTGATGTTCTCAGTGCCTAATAATGTAGATAACAAGTATTAAATTCAATGGTGAACACTATTGAACCAAAATCCTTCTAGGAAGGCACAGTGTGGTTTTCTACCTGATAGTCTTCCTCTGTGATGAAGAGGTTGTTAAGTGCTTCATTGACTGATTTGTTATTGTGGTTCTGGACTGAGCGCAGGTAGGGTTTGACCAGGGGCAGCTGTTTAACCTGTGAACACAAAGGCAAAATCAAACATAGCAAATGTCACTTCTGTCACAATCCTTCATCACCATAATTCCAAACATTTTTTTTTTTACCTTGCTAAAGAAGTTGACAGCACGTGAGTGGTCCAGTCTGGGAGAAAGCACTATGAGCAAATCATTCAGTAACAATGGCTTAAACTCCAGATAGAACTGGATGGCTTTGTAGTAGAGCTCCACGTTGGCCACCTACAAAAGGTAGAGAGGAAGCAAAGTGTTTAACAATTTAAAGTATTAAATGTATCATATAGATTAAACTGTATATGATACAAGGGGGCGATTTATTTAAACTCTTAACCATGTGTAATCATGTGTTTTTTGAAATGGCACTGTCCCCTTTTAAATAAACTAAACAATGTGAGATATAATAATTTCATTATTGTGCTAAAATTAAATTCATAACGACCCAAAACCTGATAAATAACCATTTACTAGTTAAAAGAAAAAATGTGTTTAAAATAAGCCTAGAGGTCACTATAAGAGGTTGTACCTTGGTGATAATGTCCTTAAACTGTCCCTCTTTCCAGGCATCTGTTGGATGGTTCATCATTGTAATGATGGCGTTGTCAAACTCCTCATACTTGTCGTACAGGAAGACGAGTTCGGCCCACAGGTGAGCCTGCTCTGCTGCTCTCAGAACCTTTGGTATGTTAACTCTGGACCAGAAGAGCTCCAGGTGTTCTCTCATCTTCTGAGGCTTGAACTTGGAGTAGAGGATGGCCAGTTCTGTGAACATACCCATGTGAGCACGTTCTAAACCCAGGGCAGCCTCCAGCATTGTGATCAGCTCTTCAAAGTAACCGCGGTCCTAAAGAAGAAGAGAACTTATTTGTTGATAAGAGTTTCATTTCTAAAGGCTAAGTGGTTTAAGAGACACACAAAAGCATCAATCTTACTTGGTAATAGTTGATCAACTCCTCCAGCTCATCAGCGTGAACAACAATGTGAAGACCACACATCTGGGCCAAACGAAACTCCTCTCCATCAACGCAGGCAAAGCAAACTTCTTTCCAGGTGCGGGTGCTGTTGGCCTTGCGAGCACCATCCACAGCTGCCTGATATTCTCCAAGGTGGACCAGGGTCGAAGCCAAACGACCAAAGTTGGACACGTTGTTGTACAGCAGTTTAGCAGCCTCGTACATTTTCTCATCATAGCAGCGATCACCAACCTAGGAAGCAAATTCGAAAACATTGTTTGATTTTTTTGAACACAACAGGAACTCACCAAAGTTGTATGAGTGAATGAGGCAAACCTGCTGGATGTGAGCATTGTTAGGTCCATTAATGAATTCTTCTAGCTCTGCCAGACGGTTGGTTTTGGCCAAAGCAAAGATGAGTTCTGTTTCTACGTAGGACTCACGGGCCTTCTTACGAGCCATCTGCAGAAATTTGACCAGGTCTTCCCAGTTACCTGAGAAACAAAGCGTTGTAAAAACATCAAGTGGGAGGTCTGCTTTGAGACAAATGGTTGTAAAGTTGCTAAAAAGCAGAAGTCCTTCATACCACTCTTATCTGCAGCCTGGACCACCTCCATGTATGCAGAAGGGTCATCAGCTTTGATGTAGGAGTCAATGGCCTCCTTCACCAGGCCCTTTTGCAGCTGAGCCTTAGCCAGCTGGCTCCACACAGCTGGCTCATTGCAGCGTTCTGCAAACTCATAGGCTCGGTCAAGGTTGCCAATGTGCTCGATCAGCACCTAGGGAGGAACAAAGAGGAAAAATCATATGATGAGTATTTATTCAATCTATAAAGCATTAGATGAGTTGTTTAATAGCTATAGTCTGACCTGCACAGCAGAGGTGTTGACATCAAACTTTTTAAAGATGGCAAAGGCCTCCTCAAAGAGCTCATTGCTTATGGCAATGTTGGCGATATCAGGTGCATCATAGTTGTCTAGTCTGCTGATGTACTCCATCACTCGAGTGCGGTCAGCTTTGATTGCTGTCAGGATCAGCAGATTTTGCAGATTTCTGCAGAAATTAAAGGAAATTTAAGTACACTTTGAGTTTGCAAATTATTTTGACAAATATTTTCCAAATCTTTTTCAAAACTGACAAAGCACCTGTGTTCACTGAAGACAGAGTTGTCCAATACAATCTTCTCAAGCAGCTCAATGAGCTCGTTGGGTAGATCTGCAGTCATAAAGGCCTTGACTGTGACCGACACCTCCTCTGGGTCCTGGGTTTCTGACAATGCTGTTTGTACCACCTTACAATTACAAACAATGAGAATTTTAGAGTCACCTATAGACCTCTTGAAATAAGATTAATTTTGCTTCATGCACACCTCACCTGGTCAATCAGTGGTCTTCTGAATGGGTTGGTCTCAAGCAGCACACTGGCCCACAGGTCAGGGTCTTTGCGGCGAACCAGATAACGAGACAGACTCTTGAACAGGGAGTTCTCATTGCAGACCTAAAGTCAAATTAATAATAAAAAATGTTTTTATTATTATTAGCTGTTAATGTAGTGCAGTATTATAAAAGGTAATCTTAAAAACCAATACATTTAAACTATAATACAATTTATAAGAGGTGGGCCTTACGTTTATTAGCTCCTGGTCACACTGCCCTCTCTCATAGGCCACACAGGCCAGATGAGGGTCTCTTTTCTCACAGTACTTTCCTACCACACGGCTGTCATAGTAGGGGTTTTCTCTAAGGAAGCGTTCAGGATTGTTGTTGCTGTCAATATAGATCTTAGCCAAGGCGTTATGAGTGGCAGGCTCCTCACAGCCTTCGTGGATACGAGACTCCAGCCAAGGTAGCAGCAGCTTAAGTCTGAGAGACAGAAAATGTTTGAGTGATCAAATGTGCATAAATGTAAATCCTATTTAACATCGCCAATACCAGAAAGATAAGATACTGATTTCACCGGAAGCATAAACATTATTTGATTAAAGGTCCCAACAATATGTATCGTACAACACCTGTTTCTTTTTTCCACCTCAGCAACCAGTTCATCAGTGGAAAACTGGCCCCTGACAACCAAGATCAGGCTCTTAATGACATCCTCTGAGCAGTCCACATCTAGGAGACCACCAATCACCACGGGCAAACGGCTAGGGTTCACCTAAAAGACAGACACATATGTTTATAATGTAAAGAATTGATGTTTTCCTCTGATGTGTTTTATATTGACACATGGACCCTTACCTTCTGAACATAGATCTCAATGTACTTCTGCAGGTTGTTGCGGTACAAGTAGAGGACCAGGTCATGGACAAAGTCGAAGCGGTCACAGACAATAATGAGTGGCAGCTGGTCAGTGAGTTTGGCTTCCTGTTCAAAACACAAGATGAAGAGACCACAGTTAGCCAGGCATTAAAACTAGTGAGGACTTTACTCAACCTGAAACAGTAAGTGATTGATACTTGTGCTAAAGTAATTGAAAATAAATTTGTTTTAGTGCAGTTACACTGCAACTATAACATTATTCAGGGACATTGTTATAGGCTACCAGTTTCAGAAGATCACTACTGTTGGTTAGTGTTTTATGAGCTCCAGTACAAGGATTCCAGTCGCATTTAATTTATAACTGTCTGTTGTGTGTTAAGTACTAGAAGTGATTGTGTCTGTAAAAACAAAAGCAAATCTATGACTAATTTTTCTTGGATTAAACATTCAGAGAGTGGTAAGATGCTGTGATGCCTCTGCAAATTAGTTTTGTCTCATGTTTACTTGTGGAGTTTGCCATGCAGGATATTCTTTGCGGTTCATGCTATACTTCAGTTTGGTAAAAAGCAGTTGTATCCAATACAGGTGAAGGAAAAAAAATAGAAACTTTTGTGGCTGTAATAGAATAAGTCTTTACAAAGCTTATGAAATTCTGAAAACCTGTACATCAAAGTGGGTTGAGATCAAGAGGTTGTGGTTTTTTGAACATGACAGTTCATTCCGTATGTCTACCTTGAGGAAGTTCTTGACACGTTCGGGGTCATAACAGTTGCTCTCTCTGCAGATCCTCTCCACCTCTTTAATCTGCCCGGTCTTGCAGGCGGCTTGGATGTATTTGAAGTGAACATCAGGATCCTGGCTGAAGTTTACAATGGAACCAAGGAAGTAGAACAGACCTGAGAGAAAAAGATCCTTTAAGCTCCAATAACCCTTAAACAACATAAATACTTTAGGCTTTCAGATTTTGGTAACATTGAGCTTAAGAGACAAAAAAAAGAATGTATGTGGCTACAGAAGTCCACATACTTATAATAGCCTACTGATTAAACAGGAATCTCCGTGCTTATTAGAAATCATCACCGCTTCCTGTCCTTAAAAGATAATTATAACTTATCAAATAAAACAACTTACCTTCAAAACTCTTGAAAGACTCAAAGAGTTCAGTAAGAGACTGTGTGGTGAGCTGCTCATGGTATTTGGAGGCCACCTGAACACAAATCTGCAGGTTCTGGCGGATGTTAGCAGACAGCATAGCCCTAAGGCACTCCAGAGAGTCTTCCACCGACAGCGAGCCAAAGAAGTTTACAAGCCACTGAAAGTAAAGAGAAATCTTATTTTAACTCACTGAGTGCAATTAGGGTTTCTATAATTAGATCAAACAAGTATATTAAATGCAGGAATTTCTTTTACACAAATATTCTCCCTCAGCTATCTACTGAACCGCACCTCTGGGTTGAGCAGGTGTGTATGAACCACAGCACGCTTAATATCGTAGAGGTCAGTGTAGTGTTCCAGCGCCCTTTGCAGGAGTCCAGCTTTCTCACAGAGCTGGGCAATGTGGGCACGGTCATAGTTGGTGAACATCTGGTTACCCAGGATAGCATCTGCAACCTGCAATGATAATAAGGATAACAAGGAATTTAAAAAAGAATAAGATCGAGAGTGAGCTCCTGAAAGCTTTTTTCATTATGTTTATTTTAGGTGGGAATGCACATTTATTCACCTGTGGAGCATGCATCAGGTTCATCTCCAGCAATCGAGTCTGCAGCGGTCCTTCTGATGGTCTGTTGTTTTTTAAAGCATCCAGGAGAAATGAAGTGCACTGCTGGATCAGGTTGTACTCCATGAACACATCAACAATCTGGTGAAACAGATAAAATATTGTGTCATTTCTACAACAATTGAAACTTAGCAATATCTCACATAAGCAAAACTGCTTGTGCTCTAATAACCACATTAAACCACATACTTCTCCAAAACTGTGGAACCTGTAGTAAAAGTAAGGTGAAAGTAGCTAGAAAAGATTTCCTCTTTCAAACTTGGAAAGCAGCCCCTGACGCAATGTGTAATTCTTATCCCTGACATCCCTAAAGCTGTCAATACAGCACTTCAGGCAGTAAAAAAAACTGTGTCAGCAGAAGAGAGCCTGCCAGAGCAGGAAGTGAAGGAAGAGGCACAGTTCCTTTACATTAAAAGATTACTAAGGTTATACTCCGCTTATACTCTTCATAACATGAAAGAAAAAACAACTTAGTGAAGAGCAAACAACCATAAAATAGCTACAAAAATGTTCCACAAATTTGTGATAGACTGTAAATTCCTTCTCCCTTTCCTCTTACCTGTGTGATATCAGCTAGCGGCTCTTCATCCTGGACCAACATCTGGGCAAACTGAAGGCCTTGTTCTGGGTTTATCCGCATAACATTTCTCAGCAAAAAAATCCAATCAGGAGTGTAGCCCACCTAGAAAAAAGCATGTACGTATTTTATATTATCTTTATTGTTACTTCACAGTGACAATCTTTGTTGTAAATGCATCGTGTTTTAACTAAATTAGTCATTCAGAAATTCTGAATTAAGAGCATTTTGGAGATGGTGGCATCAGGAAGGCCAAATCACTGTGGGCTAGCACTAATGCCACTCCAAAAGGAAGGGAGGGGGAGGGAAAGAAAAAAAAAAGAATATATCTTAGAGAAACAGGAATACCTTCTTGGCATACAGGACTATCTTTGGGAACTGTCCAGTTTCTGCGAAACACTGAATGACCTTATTGGGAACATTGGCCCTCAGGTAGACACTGAGAGCCAAAGTTGGATCAACTGCCTTCACCAGGTCTCCAAGTTCTTCTGAGCACTCCAACTGTAAAAAAGTATGAAAAACAACATTCGTACTATGATCATACTATATAAAAGGATTTGTTTAAAGTAGTAAATAACATTAGTCAAATAAAAACAGTAAGATTATTCTTCCCATTTAACCCCTTTATAGAGTTTTATATAAGTATATATATATATATATATATATATATATATATATATATATATATATATATATATATATATATATATATATATATAATATATATATGAACATACACACACACATTTATTAATATTACTTAAACGAAAGACAGCCTTCAACATGACACCAAAATATCCATTTTCCTGTGAAAAACTTCCCATAGTGTGTCTGTTACAAAACAATGATTTCATGTGGTCTAAGATAAAAGCAGAGTTGTGTAAACAAATGGGCAGCTCAGGAAGTATCTCTTCCAGTGTGCAGCGCTTGAAATATACATCCAAAATACCTTGTCTTCCTTTAGCCACTTTTCCAGGAGCTGCTTTCTTCCCTGTTGCAGAACGGGTCTGCAAAGCTCCAGGGACTCAAATTTATTGAGCTGACCCTGGTCCAAAAGGATTCCAAAATACTGCAGCAAGGGGGACGTCTGACCTGGCTGAGCTGGAACGCTCTGGAAGCGTCGGATCGTGTCTGGGGTACGCAGGATACCCTGATGTCAACAAAGTAAATTATTAGATTTCAAGGATAAAATTGGATGAACACAATAACCAGAATAATATTCCTTTTACATAACCAGATTTACCTTGGGTGCATTTGCAGCCATCTTTGCAGCCTCAGGGTAGTTCCCAGCAGCAAACAAGTTGTTAAATTTGCGTGCAAAGAGTTCCTCAGCACCAGCAAGGTTGTTGCGGACTGCCAAGCGTAGAGCAAGATCTGGATTCTGGAGTACGTTTGTTATGTAGGGGATGATGTTTTCTTCTTCCACACACACAGACAATACCTGAAATACAGAATAAAAATTAGGGTAATTGAAATACAGACAAAAAGAAAAGAAATTCACATTTACGCTGCATACGTCATACATCATTTTGCATTGGATGAGACAAATAAATATGAGATTTGCATACATCATCACTTAATTAATCAGCATACTTCTAAAAAAGCAAATGCTGCTCAATATAACTCTGGGCAGATGCATCAACTCAACTTAACTGTGACTGGCCTTGGATTGTAGCAGCTGAATGCAAATGTATTATTAGTAGGTCAGTGTAACGCATGGCTTTTGTGAGTGGCCTGGCATTAGATTGAGAAAGACTAACAAGTCAAATGAAAGGGCAGGATTGAAGGGAGTGGAGGGCTGCAAAAGAGAGACTTGCCAGTGTTGGCTGCTCTACAAATAAGCCCAGCGGGTCAGTACCCCTGCTTTTAACGTGGGTGAATAGACTTCATTCTTCCTGGCACTAAAGCACAGTCACTTAACCTCTCTTAACATGGGTGGACTGACTGAGGCTTGTTGAAATACTAAATGAGCAGAAAAGGTTAAGTAACAACTAAAAACTTGAAAAGTGTGCCAAACGTGACTAACGAGATTTTCTGCCTGGTTACTGAATAAGAAATATACATAATTCTATTATACCATATTCCCTAAAATAAATAATAACAAAAAAATTCAATATTTTTAATTGCAAATATGAGGGGCACGAGCTGCTGATCCAAATAAGTCACATAGCTTCATATTAAAACATAACAAAACATCCCCACTCCATTAACTGTATAATTAGGAGGCACCGTAGGTGTCACCCTTCAACGAATGCAAACAATAAATCTCACAGCACAAAATGGCCTGATTACAGGCAGCACTGTTGTCTTTTGGTTAAAAAGGTAGCCACTGATGGCACATGGCTGAAAATACAACTTAAAAGAAGATTAGAAATAAATATTAGCATAAAAAAGTTTTGTAAATGTTTGCCTTTAAAATGCATTGAAAAGCACCCTAAACCTGAACCCAGAAAAAAAGACTGTTTAGTTCCAAAAAAGTAGGGGTTGTGTATGGAGTGATTTGTTTTACTGCTTACTGTATAGGCTGCTTGTGGATAAATACCAGCAGAAAATTATAAATATCATTGTGCAAGAGTGGGGGCATATACTGTATCTTTATACTTTTATTATCTATGACAGTGTTACATGAGAGGACGCACACAGAGATCGGTCATGGTGTCTTGTCTTTTAAAACACTGACTCTGCATGCATGTGCATACAATGTACACACACACAAAAAAACTTTACTCCACAGCAATACAAGATCTGTCACTGCTCAACACTGGGTTAGTTTTCCTGTTTGCTAAATAATTCAGGTGGTGCGTGTGGCCTGACTGGAACATTATTCATCAGCTTGATGGATCAAGTTCTCTTTTCTGTTTCAGCTTTACAACAACAGTAATGCACAGCCTCCCTACCCTGTGTGTGAAACAGTAACCTTTAGATTATTTATGATACCTGCCGACAGAGTCTAGACTTGCCTGATGATGATGTGCAAACAAGACACACCGACAAATGAGGAGTACACTGACTGGTAATTAAGTTGTTGTGCACTGGCTTTCCTGTTTTATCACAATGACACCAAAAAGACTAAGACATTAGCATCAGTTGATATTAGTACCTGTCCTTTCCTGTTGACCCCAATGATGCCTGAGGTGGCCTCATGTGGAGCGGTGACAAAGATGGTCTCTCCACTTATGCGGTTCATGTAGATACAGGTTCCCGTTTCCAAGTCATACAGGTGTATATAGCCATATTTAGTAATAAGGAAAACCACATTGTGTTTGGCGCTTATCTGTTAAAGAGGGACAAAGAATTACATAGCTATAAAAAGTGGGACAATAAAATCAGACATTCAATGTTTTTCTTCTCAGGTGTGACAGGTCAAAATTAGATTGTATTATTCTGTACTGTAAACTAACTGATACATTTCTTTCTTAGCTTTTCTCAATAGATGGCCACTTAGTTCTGTCAGGGTTAGACATTCACTTAGCGCTAGATCTAAAGCTCACCAAACTATTAGAACTCAGTTAAGCCCATAGCCATTTGATTTATGCTGCTCACAGACAAGCACAATAAACAAACATAAAATATAACATCCACAGTGGCAGTAGAGAAAGGTTTATTTAGGTGAGAGATTTGCTCTGCTCTATTCCCAGGCCTAACTATAGAATCATACCTGCATAGCCACAGGGAAGTCATTTTGTGCTTCTGGAGGGAAGAACACATCCACTGCTTTCTTTGGAAATGGTTGGTTGCCTGTTGCTGGGGTGCCAACTTCAATAATATGCAACTGAAACAAACAAATAAAACAATGACGCATTTTAATAATTTTGCTAAGCAAATTGCTTCAAAACACCAGTTATTAATTACCTTTCCTCCAGCTTGGCCTCTGACAGCAAAGCAGAACAAAGTCGACTCCTCTGCGTTGCCCTCCATCTTGAACTGGGCAAAACTGGCAGCATGTCCTTCAATTGGCTGTGAAACTTTTCTGTCGACAGAGTAAAGCTGCATGGCACCAACCACCCGATTTTGCTGGAAAAAAAATAATGAAAAATAATTGTCAGGATAAATCCTTTATATGTGTGAAGTAAGATATCTGAATGCATCCAGGCTTTTGGCTATGTATAAAGAAAAGATTACGGTGCTATTGTCGAAACCCATATAACTGAATATGTTTAGCATTAATCACATCCTGGCAGAAATGTACCTGAGCAGAGATGCCAATGAGCAGAAGCCATTTCTGCTTTGCATCAGTGCGGTAGTTGATGATCTGGCAGCCAGCCAGGCTGGAATGGCGGTCAAAGACCTTCACAGGCTGTGAATCACCCTCCATGCTCCAGTGGTAGACAGCAGTGTCAGTCACAAGTGCAACGGTGTTGAGGGAAATCCACTTCCAGAAGGTGACATCGTCTGTCATGGTGTGTGCCTTCATCTTGCTCTTCATCTCAATGTTGAAGATCTGAAGAGTTTTGGCAGCTAGAGGAGGGAAGGACAAATAAGGCAGGTGCCATGCCCCCAACACATAAATAAATCCTTAAAAATTGATCAAAGGAAAATGGTATATAGAATCAGACATTTATTATATTAGTAGTCAAAGAGGTCAACAGGCAACGATACCTGGAGGGATCGATAGAGGAAGAAAACATGCTGACGTCAGAAACTGTGCCATATGTAGTGTAGTAAAAATACAAAGGAAATAAATGTTGACTGCCTGAGATGTGCCACATGTAACACAGCGTCAAATAAATCACATGTACATTAACCAAGACAGTTATTCCCAAGTCTTGGCTTTTGCTCAAATAAGTATCAACAACATTTATTAACAGTATTAACACATAAATGTACTGCTAATTGATATGAGAAAAATGTGGGGTTTTCCCCCAGAAATGATTAATAATGTTTTTGTGAAATTCAAAAACATTTAAAATTACGTCATGAATAATTCAATTTGTAAAAACTGAGAGATGTAAATAATTATTCAATCTAAATCAACTACACCACCTAAAATTAGAGATTACAATAGTAATTATTTGTTTTGTAATTACATATCAGCCTAAACTAGCACATGAACAGCCCATGGAAAATACAAAGCAGAGGGAGACGACAGCAACAAACACAAAACCAACAAAAACTCACATCTGCATCCGTGCCCAATTGTTAACAGTGAAATATATCAACACACACTATAGACACAATAGGGTTAAAAGAGTATTTAAAAGGACAGTTTTTATATCAATTATGGTCCATTAAAAATAAACAGACAACATGGTACAAATGTTTACTCACCTGCATGTTTTCACATTTGTTAGGGTTTTTTAAGGTTAAGCTTTATTATGAAGCAGTGTGACCTTTGTTTGTTCCTTGTTTAATACTTAATAATTAATGAGAGAAAAAGAAAAGACCGACTGCATCAGCAAATCAAGGTCATTTTGCTGTCACAAAGCAATGGAATCAAGAAGAAATCAAGCTTTGTGGCCAATTGACCACTGGCAGCAGCAGCCGGATTTTAGCAAGCAAAGGAATTTTAAGTGAATAATGATCAGGTATTTTAGGGTGCATTTGTACATAGTGTCAGTCTTGAGATGTTAAATGACGAGGTTCAAATATTTCAACTTTGTAACATGACAATACAGACTGATAAGAATTATTGGTAAACTTAGCAGGGGAAAGAGCGGAGGTGGACTATAGGTGTAGTATGCACTGGGCCTAAGTTCAACAATTACTAATGACAGACAAGCTTAAAAGTAATTGGAATCTCAGAACACCAGAGAAAGGAAAAACAAAGCAAGCCCAGCCTGTTTGTTCTTAACATGTAATCCAGCTTCAGTGATCACTACTCTTTTTGCTGTCACGTGTCTGTCAGCAAAAACTGAGAATTCTATAAAAGCTATAAAAATTGAGCTGACAATAAAAGTTTGCACAGTTTCAGTGTGGAGGGCAATGAGCACAGACAGAACAGCTTGTAATAAAGAGAGCAGTTTTACACATACAACTCTAATATACACTGATTCTGAAATGTGTCTGCTTTTCTGCCAGATGACACTGGGTTATGAATCACTCCAAAGACATTTACAGTAGATTCACAACTACTTAAATGTGTTTTTCACATTTTACTCTATAGTGAAACATCTGTCCATACATTAATTCAACCTACAATTTTGTCGTGTTTATTAACAAATATCCAGTTTCTGACTAAACTACAGATACTTTGTTCCTTTTTAACAACAGTGGGTAAGGACCAGACAGTGTACAGAAACAAATAAGACGGTAAGTTTGGGTAGTTACAACTTCACACAGATGGAGGAAAATGAATTCAGTTTTAAAATGAAAACTGAGAAGCAATGGAGATTGAAATGATACATTGTATTCATCGATGTAAAATGCGGTGTAAATCAGTTTTACAAATAAAATTAATGTATAGCCAGCAAGCTGTAAGGAGGTGAAAGCCAAATCCTGTTTAAGCAATAGATCTGTGTGATTATCATAAACTGTAGTCCAATATTTTTGTAAATTGATTTCATGAAAAAATTTGTAAAATGAGAGAATTCATATCATATCAAGACTTGACACAAGTACAGGCTTAGATTAAGAAAAATGGAATTTATGCCATGTCCTCTAAAAATATCTGTGTTCTTCTTACCATCTGAAAAGGATAATTCAAAGTAAAATGTGTCAATAAATACAATCAACAAATAAAAAACAGGATTTTACTTTCACAATGAAGTAGTTAAATTTCAACTCACCGTCTGCAAACACATAAGAAAGCGGTAAAGTAAAAAAAAAAAAAAGACAAGAACAAAAAGTCAAACCAATCAAGGATACTTAACAAAAGTAGTAAAATATGCTATTTGAATATTTACAAGACAAATGTGTTGAAATATACACTGCTCAATTAAATAACAGGCCATTTATTTTTAATATCCCAACATATATGAAAATACGCTGTGGAAATAATTTACTTCAAGTGTAACAATTCAAAGGTTCATTTTTAAGCCCCATCAACCAGCCCTACTATGAAATATTCAATAAACAATAACATAATATTAAATCATATATACTAATGATGTGGGTCATAAAAAATGGGATAATTTGGAGAATAACACTGAACAACTACAATCTACACTAAAACACATTTGTGTCTTTAAAATGAAAACATTCAAATTACCTTTGAGTGCAATAACTTTGCTGGCTGGATTCATTATGGCGCTGTCAGCAGAAATGGGTCTGCGGATGGGTGTGTTGGGGTCGGCCAAGTCAATGATCACCACCTGAGTTTGCTCGCCAACCTTCTCCCGCACACAGATGAACTTGTCAGACTCCATAGTGAGGGTGCTAAAGCCAATGTTAGCTGGATTGATCCCTATGTTTTGGAGCTGTGAGGACAAAGGAAAAAAGGGAGAGAGTAAGGTAAAAGAGATTAATTAGAAAATGTGGATGGAATCAGCACATTCTACCTAGATTTAAAGATACATTTGTAATACAAAAAAACTTCTTTTGCTCATTCTTTTCTTTTCAAGTCTTTTTTTCTACAGACAGAGGAAGGAAGCTCATCAAAGCAAAAGAAAAAGAAAAAAAGGATTAATCTACATTTCAATTGTATTACACAGCATTGTAGAGACATCTCACAGCTCATTACATTTTTTCTAAACTTTGTTTGACCACATTTGACCCCATTGGTATATGAAAAGGGTTCATGGTTTACTTGCACTTTGAACCATGTAAGCTCAAAAAGCTAATAATGATGCAATAAATTATACAAAACAAGCCAGAGTTCAGTGCCAATTTGACAATATTTTGTGCATTACCCTGCTAAAATACATATAAGGTGGACTACTTTGCATTAAATAATACAATTGACTCTGAAGTATGTCAAGACAGACGCAGGGACAGAGTGCGTCATACAAACTCACAAACATAACTACAATCCAACGGCTACTACACCAGAAAGCTCTACCAAAACAGCTCTAGTTTTTGTACAATTTTTGGTACAAGAATTAAACATTTTTATTATAATTTCACAGTTGTTAACCCAATGCAATCAACAGAACTAGTATAACAATGCATATATATATATATACACAGACAGCCACTATGGCAATGTCAGCATAAAGGAACTGAAACTATGAGAAACACCCTACATCCTCCGTGTTACTGTTGCAATTTCCTTCACTTTTGCATAGTCAAAGATATCCAGTTTGTGGACAATGGCATAACCTGAATTGAGGCTTTGGTATTATAATCAAACTCATATTTTTTATATTTCTATTTTATGTAATTTTCTTATGTATTCACAGTATATTAATGAAACTATTAAATATATATACATAACATATTATTTCTATTAGATATTTTACATCTATTATCACCTTCTATTCCTATCAAAAAAAACAAGTAAAATCAAGAAAACACAGAAAACTAAAAGATATATTGTTCTTAAAATAGTTTACCTTTCCAGTGATTAGCATTCTAATAGTGATTGTTAACAACAGCTTGACAAAGCCACACAAAAAAAGGAACAGGTTTACTACAAGCGTCTTTAAAATTTCAAATGTCAAAAGTAGTGTTGTGAACACATATAGGATCTGAGCCAGAGAGCCTGCAAAACAAGCCAGTCTTAGCCACATCTCAGCTGTCTGTGGTGAGAGCTAATTCAAGGTTTAGAGTGACAATGCTCTTTGCAACTTGCCACAATTGAGTTCTATTTAGCAAACACAAACCAAAACTTTGACAACTTCTCAGTGAAATGGGAACACCTTTATCAATGACAGCCACCAGCTCTGCCCCACCCAATATTTCAATAGCGCGTAACCCGTTTCCCTCAGTGATAAATAACCTAACAGAACAAGTGTTACTACCAGCAATAAGGACAGATAGGGAAGCAAGCTTTCAGCATGGTAACACTATGGCGAAACATCCAGCCAATAAGACAATGTTAAAGTCCTGTGGAATGTTTAGAATCTTTCTTTCTAGTTTTACTACCTGTCATCTATTTTATAATGAGTAGAAGGTCCTTTCATTCATGACATCTTTTATTACAGGAAAGGGCAAAGCAGCCTTATCAAACCCATATATTACCTCAGTCTAATGGAAAATAATATTATCACACAGAAAGCTGTTGCTCTGTTTGAAAAAAGATGACACCACAACATAGACAGTAGGACTGGTTTTTGACAGAGATCTTTTTGTAAAAACCTGTTGTTAGCTACTATGCAATGCATGACTGACATCAATGAGTAGGGTTCTGAGTAACAGCAGGTAATTCAAGTGAGGACACACCCAATTTAAATAAATAAATAAGATTAAAATAATTGTAAGTATTTCCGTACCCCTGCTTGTTTTAGCCTAGAGCTGTTGTTTTCCTTTGTAGACAGGACAACAATTACAAGTGCTAACACAAAATCTCTTAATTCATAAGCCAATTTATTAAGAATCAAAAAAGGAATTTAATATGTTGACTGACTGCGGTTCCTATTGTGGGGAAACGCCTTCACTGATCAGTTACAGTATCTCCTAAAACTGTTTACAGAAACAGGGGGACAAAGTGGCATATTATGGGTTTTAAAGAATTGCAAGGGCGAGAACCTGCTGCTCCTCAGCCACTTTCGTATCGTACTTGGGCATGCAGGTGGACTATTGAGCTTTTATGTCAACTGGATAAAAGTATCAGACATGGTTTCATTGTCAGCCTCTGCTAAATGCAGTAGATATCCAACATTCTAAATTCTATCCATCCCAAGTGCCTCCCTATTTGATTTTATCTATGATTCCTTGTACACACGGCAATAAAGATTCTCAAACCAAGGCTATACCTTGGTCCCCAAAGAGGGAGGGTTTATGCGAGGCCAAAGATGATAATTTTACATTTTGCCAACAGGGTTTAAGACTACAGATTTTAATATATTTAGAAAGATACACTTAGGGTGAGATCATCTATTGATTTAACCTGAATGTTATTCCTTCATAGGAAAGTAGCATCTTGTTCAGCAACAAAGAAGTTGTGTCTCACATGTTAAGTTCAAGGCAAGACAGGGAAGGATGTGCAATTTAATGTGCTGAGGCTTGCAGCACTTCACTACAAAGCTCCACAACAGGAAACCAGGGACCCATTGTCTTCTAGGACTGAAACAACAGGCCTGCCCAGAGCTGCCTCCTCCAAAACCATGTGATACCGACAAGGAACATGTGATCAGCCTAGGGGTGACATGTGGGAGGGCTGACTTTATAGATAAAGTGACAGAGGAAAAAAGGAAGGATTTAATGGATGTCTGAACCCCATCCACTTCCACTCCAGGCGAGTTCTGCTGAGGTGCTTCTGGAACAACAGTTTCAGCTTTTTCCCCTGCATGTACACTTTATCTTACTCTAAAACAGTGCTGCAGAATGTCAAGTGATCAGCAAATCTGTTTCCTCGGCCCGTCACGAGACCTCAGCAGTTAAGTTACACAAAAGTTCAAAGTGTAACTTGCAAATGTTATAAGGTGCTACTGACTCAGGATGGCAAAAACACTGTAGCAAAGGTAGAATAATGGTACAGCAGATGTATGAAAAAAAAAAACAAACTTAAATAGCAATTCTAGTTTTAATCTGTCAGCATCGCTTTTGACATCTAATGTCACAGAAAAAACTGTTAGCAGCAATCTACCTGACAAGAACAAACAAAGTTTGGCACCTCATTAGAGTATCTTATTTAACTACTTTTATTAGCCTCCGTTACATTTGCATCAACCATGTATGACAATATGACCATCAACCAAGTTTTGCCTAGATCTGTTTAGTATGGGATCTGTTGCTCTGGTACAGTGATTGACTTTCTCTATCTAGACATATTGGTGTATTTTGGCATAAATATTTTTTTCCATGAACCCTTTTGGGTTACAGATGTTTTGTTGCAGTGACGCAACTAAAAAATGTCTGTTTTACTTACACAAGATTGTGGCATAACAATATGATTTACCCAGATTCAGTAAGCACTAAGGCACTTTGAGGTAAACTGTGTAGTATATGCAAGATGTGAAGAGAGTTAATGAGAAAAGACAAAAAACACCTGTTATTATATTATGTACTACAAAAAACATGGTAAAGGCAGTGATGTCTCACTCATGTATTACTTACTCAAACAATGAACAGGTTCAGATTTTTTTTTGTACCAGAAATGTATGAATTGTTATAACACTGCATGAAAAGTGTGTGTATGAATAAGAGATGCAAGAATGAGGGGGAAAACTGTGCTGCATACTTTCATTTTACACCACACTTAAGCAATTAAAGCTCTTAAAGTACAGTCTAAGTTTATAAATGGATGATATATAAAATGCAAGCTATGCAAGTTAATTGCAAGACCGAATGACAAAGAACATATCCGTAGAGCTCAAGGCAAACAGAAAATGAGACACAAATAAAACAGGATAGATAATTGTAGTTATCCCTTTTCTGTTGACTTCGTAAGCTCTCTGCATTATAACTTCATAAAAACAAACAGTGCATGATTTAAAAGGGACCATATTACAACCTTACCAAAACTGCAATATATATTAAAAATGTTTCTTCACCAAATGTAAATGATTTTATGGCTCAGATGAATGGCAGACTTTGGATGCTTTTCTTTAAACTGACTTTTTCTAACATACAGGTTTTTGAGTAAATACATATTATGCAATACATATATATATATTGTTGTTGTGTATTGCATGTACTTGTTTATATGGCTGGAGACAACTCCTACTACAACAACTAGATGTCAGAGACATACAGAAAAACTATATACTTTGATATGCAAGTCATCCAAATATACTTATCCAATGTAAAAACACCATCATTATTCAGGGATCATGCAACTCTTGTGGCAATTATATAATTACGGCTCCATTGCTGCTCTGGTAAGATACATCAGAAGAAAAAAGTTAACAGGAACACAAACACAACAATTTAAACAAAAATATGCAAATATTTTAACTTTTCTATTCTGACATATTAGCAAGATGTTTCTGACCTTAAGCTTGAATGAAAATGTAATTCCTCACATTTTCATAAACCAATTAAGACTGACTTTATAAGCTAATTCTATGCAGTAAAAACAACTTGTCGAAGGTAGAAAAAAAATAGGTAACAGACTTGTTACCCAGTTTTTAGTGATAAATCACTGATCACTGATAAAAGACAATTATCAGTGAATGTTTGAGTTTCACCTAACTCTAAATAATTGGATATGTCTATAAGAAATTAGAGCAAAGTACGACTATCCCAGAACATCTCAACATGACAGCCTTCTAAGGTTGAACACTTACTTTTAACGAACATGGGACAATAAGCACTTCAAAACACACAAGGGTTAAAGGAAAAACACAGCCAACGTAACAGAACACACTTGAAAAATGCATTAGCAGAGAAGTACTATGAAATGAAAGTAAAAAGGCAAGGTCATAATATAAAAAAACAAAGTACAAATTTATAATTATTCTTTTCCATTTACAATACAAATTAAATCACCAAAATAAGTACAAATTAAAATGCTTCATTAGTCCATGAAGGTTCCCCATGACTTCTAAAAGCGATGAGAACTTTCATGTAATACGTAAATCCTCTCGGGTTCTTATGTATACATTTTTAACATTTCGGACAAAGGTACAGAGTCAAAGAGTTAGCACGGAGGCTAGATGCTAACTAAGATAAACGTCATCCACCCGAAAAGCTAGTTAGCATAGCTCAAGTAAGCTAACTTAGCTTGTTAGACTTTGTAAAGTCTTCGGACATTTGTTACCCTAATACCAAATCAGTTTGAAAGAAAAAAATCACATATCTTTTAGCCAATTATTTAACATGTCAAAAAACGACTAAATGTTCGAGCACGTACCTGCAGGTGCTCCTGAAAGCGAATGGGCAGGATCTGAGCCATGGCGGTTCCTCTGTCACTCTCCTCCGGTTTCTTCTAATGCTAAACGCCTGCTCCTTTCTGTTGCTAATCACCCAACTAGGGAGTCCTCAGTCTTAAGTCTAAATGAAGTTACTGTAAACCGTGTTTGAATCGCACTGTCGGTGTGATGGTACTTTTATTCGACCCTTTATATTTACTTTCGGGCTTCCCCCTAGCTAAAGACCAACTGCCACTACACCGACTCCCTGGACCTGCAATGGCGAGGGAGGCTGGTCAGTAGAGAAAACATCCCGGAAATGTAAGAGCAGTCAGCAGGGCGGATGAATACCGTGTCAGATACTCAAAAGTAGTTTATGTCGTGATTAATAGGTCATTTTGGCCTGTTCACAATTTTCATCAGTCTATACAGGATTTTGGAAAAACTATGAGTAATTTTATCGAGGAATATATTGTTAAATCGAAGGTATATATGGAACTATTTCTTTCTATTCGCCCTTAGCTTTTTGCCACATCATTCGTCTTCGTAAAATAACGTCATTCATACGCATTCTTACGCTTGTTCCTCTTAGCCAATCAGATCGTTCCGCAGAAAAGCCCGGAGGCTTGAATAACACTGATCTACCTACAACTTCCAATAAGTGTACAAAGGTATGGAAGTGTATTTACGGATTGCTGACACAATAAATAAATAAATAAATAAACAGCGTGATTAGTGATAACGCGATTAGTTTCACGTTATTAGAATTGCTTTTAATTTTCAGTCATTATTCTACGTCAATTGTAGAATTTCAACATTGACTCTTAATTTCATAGGGTCACGGACGATTATTACAATTACTTAAACTTAAAGTTCAAAATTGTATATAACAGCTTAATATGAGTCACAATCATTTTGGGAGGCCATAGCCATAATATCTAATTGGTTGTCAAACGGTTGTAACCTACCTTATCAACATAAAACTCAATACAGCACTGGCAAGCAAAATGTCATTCTTGCTGTGTTAAGTCAGCAGAAACGTTAGCTGAAAAACGTAGTAATCAACCAAAAAGTAAGGGAAATGACACAGAATCCCAATACATCTAACAATTAGTGTTACTTTTTACAGCATCCTTTACTACATACTAAAGTATATCCATATATCAAATAAATAAAAGCAATTGCTTATCTTACATTTTTTTAGTTTTCTGTGACACTACAGTAATGCATTCTGACCTGAGTGCAATTTCAATGGTATTGCAAATGGCTTAAAAAATCTGCTGACTAAACGTTGTTTTTGAAAAGGAGAAGAAAAATGAAGCATTTCTCAATCAAAGGAAATGAAGGAAGTTTTGGATGGAGGGACAACATGTTGAAAAAGCTATTAAAGCAACATTCAGAGTCTGTATATATTTAATGTCTAGTTACTTTATTTTGTAAGTTGAATATTGTAAATTCTACTACATTGCTATAACTACTGCTAATAATAATAATAATCATAATAATCACAATAACAACAACAAAATTAGTAAAAATAGTTACTGTGATTGGACATAATTTTACAAATGTATATTTTCAGAGTTACTTGTCCTTAGTTGTCCAATTGGACTGCTGTTGCCATGGATTCAAAGACCAAGGAAACTGAGGACACAGGCATTCAAAGAGGAGCCACGTGTGTCACGATAAAAGAGTGGCCTTCGGACTCTCTGCGAGGATGACACAGGAGCCAATGTGTGAGCCAGTGTGTGCGGCAGCACTAGACTCTGGCTTCATGAAAAACCACAGGCAACTGTGGGAGCTCTGCAGCCATTGGCAGGGTGTCATTACTCTAAATCCATATAAAGTTCAGTAAACACACACAAAGCAACAGAACAATAGTTCTGTTTGCATGTGGGGTGTGTAAAACATGGAATGATGTGCACAAAAGTAAATACTTACTAAACTAGTTTCGATGTGATTATAGTACAAAGCATTTGCTTCGGTCACAGATGGGAGCAAAGTATCTCTATGTTGCTGGGAGGATCCCTTCAGGGATGACAGAGAGGGAAGGACACTTGGCTCTAGACCCAGGACTGAAAAGCCCCATAGAAACCCAGCTGCTTCATGCCCCCTCCACCTCTCCCCAGCCCCCACTACCTCCCCCCCACACGCTACTCCCTCTCAGTCTAAAATGGCATCACATACACATACATTTCCTATATTTTTGACTTGTACTGTTTATATTTTTATCCCTAACTATGATTACTTTTTTCTGCTATCAACTCGTTTTACCTCCACTTTTATAGTATTACTGTAACTCCAACACTAAACATTTGAGATTGATTGTTTAAAAAAAACAAATGTTTGGAGTCAGTGACATGCCTCTGACCTCCTCAGATGACCTTTGATTGGCAGCTGAGGTATAGTTATTAATTGACTGTGTGTAGGACTTTGCCAGAACAACAGAGGATGCACATTGCTTGTACTAAATAAAATAGTATTTCTCAACAAAGGAAATGAATGGATGGTTTTCATTATCAAATTTAAAGGCCAGTCGTTTGCTCACTAACAGCGAAACAGATATATTACTTTTAAACAAAATCGTTTGTTGTCATAGATATAAAAATAAAATAACTATAAAAATAATTATGCATGTTAATATATGAAAATAAATTGTTGAGCTAAAAAATCTAAATCCGTTTGTTTAGCTTTTGTTGCCATCTAGTGGACAAAAGTTGAGACGTCGCTGACTGAGTGCACGATGTCTTGAGTTCTAGATGGAATATCAATATACCATGAAGACATCCATTTGTTCTACATAATATACTGTATCAATACTATTAAAAAAAGAAGCCAACCACATTAGCCCATTGAACCAGGGACTATAAGAATAAAAATACTGTCTTGGCCATTGTTACAGAGATTTCCTGGATTATTTCCCATCACTATTAGTATATATACTAAAAAGCCAAAATCCTTTTTGTTCCTTGACTGAGATACATTTTCCACAACAATTCTCTCACGTTTAAAATATTTGGTTTAAAAGATGATGATTTATTGCTATAGAATGAAGAAAAAGTTGGGAATTTTCCACATAAATAAATTCAAGGGCAATAATGATGTTTTTGGAAATTCTGGATCTTTTTTCTTTAAAATTCACACAAAGTTCAAACACCCTGCTTGGTTATGCTCAAAGGGGAGGAGTCTCTCTTGGCTGGGGAATAAGGTTTGGATGTGTACAGCTGCTTTGGTTGCATCCCTCAACATGAGGTCCAGTAAAGGTAAAGTAATTTTTAGGATATTATTCTTATGTGCTATTGTGTTATGTGTGTGTTTGTGTCAAGTTTATGCTTTTCTGAACACTTTAAATATGTAATTGTTTTGGGTTGGGTTTTTCTTTAACAAAAATAATTAATAATTGTAAAAAATATAAAATAAAAAATAATTTGGATTGACATAATTTATATAAAAATCCCACTGTATGGTGAGTGCCAAATGGAATTTATCCTTATATGCATGTTAATGGCCACAGGCTTTTTTAAAAAACGTAAAAGACGGTTTATGACATGGAAAAACAAACACTGATCCATTAGAGGCACTCAAGGCTTGAGGGATGTTAGATCTTCAAATAGTGCAGTTTGTTTTGATATTACACTGTTACCAGGAAGGCACAGTGTGTTACTGTTACTTTTGACCACGTGATATGAAATGTCAGAAACTGAAGGACATCGATGATTGTGTTAGTAAGCATAATGGAATAAAGTGGCTTCTTTAATCAACCAATTACACAGGGTGTCCAAGACAAACACAGCAATGCAGGGGAGTGAGGCAGACATGGGGTTATTATGATAAATACTCTCAAGTAAATTTAATATCAGAAACAAACCTTTACCATTTCTACATTTTTTAAATTATCTCAATATAAGGCCTAACAGGAAAACAATGTTGTGATGTTTGATTGTAAGAAAAAACAACAAATATTGAAGTGCCACACCATTTTTACACTTCTTCTAACAAGGTGACAGTTTAATACATTGTATTAGTACTTTTGTAGGGCCAAACTGACAATCATGACTTTATGTTTTATAAACATTGTGGTCCCTCCCTCTTTAGAGAGGCCAAAGACTAAAGGTAACTCCATAAAGTCAAACCCAGTTTTATGATTCCTCCTGATAGTCATAATCAGCAGATATGGAATCCAAATCCCAGCTCAGCTATTAAGCTGCTGTGTCACAGATTAGCAGAGATCTATACAGACACTCCACAGCACAGTGAGTTCAGATCACTTAAACATATTGTGCGTTGCATGTCAGGTATTGTGCTAATGTTATGTTGCTACTGCATTTATTTATATGATATTGACCGAGACTAAAAATGTAAATATGGTGATATCATGCTGTATTTGTTGACCACTGAGACATATGCAAATGTGATACATGCTGTGCTCTACATGCTGTTAACGAATTCACTTTTCACTTTTTTTTGTTTTCAGGTGAGGTAGAAGTCACAGTGTTGACGGGGTAAGTCTTTTTAATATAATGTTGCAACAATGTCCACCGATGTTTTATACACCTGTAATAGTAGTTTTAGATCTGTGTAAAATACTTTTATTTTTCCCCATATGACATAGGTAAATGTTTGATTTTCAGAGTAGAACTTGTGCCAAATAAAGCTCATAGTTTACATGTAAATTCTGCTGATAATAATCATGTACACATTTTTTAATGATACAAAAAGACTTAATTTACCATCATTAGGAAGGTCAAATATGTAACATCTCTTATTTTACAGTAAATTTACATTTAATCCTAAGGAGGGCATAGACAACCCAGTCATGGTGATCACAGATGATGGAGGTACACTATCTTTGCAAGCTTTAGTTCAGTGAGCTCAAAAAAGGCTTTACAAAACTGTTGTTTTTTGTTTCATCCTGCCTAGAATCTGTGAAGCCGTCGGGCCCACGTCTGTGTGTTCTTACAAAAGAAGAGGGGCAGTCCTATGGATTTCATTTGCGGGTGGAGAGGGGTCGCCAGGGTCACATTATAAAAAATGTGGTGTCTCTGGGGTCGGCAGACCGTGGTGGCCTTCAGAATGGTGACAGGCTGTTGGAAGTAAACAATTGTTTTGTCGATGATGTTCCTCATCCTGAGGTAGGATGAACTTATTGACTAAAATACAATTTATCAGCACAATTTGATATGGGTTTACAGTGTTTCCATGTTATGTGAACAAGGTGTCCAGGAAGATAAAACTCAGTGGACCCCAGTTATGTGTATTAGTTTTGGATGGGGAGGCGTATGAGAAGGCTGTGTTACAAGGAGAAGACCTGAGAGATCTGGTCAAAACTTACAAATACGGAGACTACAAACCACCCAGACTTTGTCACATCACCCGAAATCTTGTCTCAGGCTTGGGCATCAGCTTCACACCTGTGGAAGGTCATTGCCTCATGTGGTTGCAACTAGAAGAAAAATAGTTAAGATATGAAATAAGGTTAAAGATTAAAATTAAAGCAGTTTTGTTCTGTTTTGGACTGCAGGTGAGAAAGGGCGCTTCTCTGTTAGCCTGGTGATCGGAGGAGCAGCTGAAAAGGCAGGAGTGTTGAAGGGGGATCGACTAGTGTGGATGAATGGAGCACCAGTGTCTGAGCTCTCCCCCTCGGCACTCAACAGGATGGTATATAACCACGATGTTATGTTTGAATTATTGTTCACAGACATTTTTAACATAAAGTTTTAAATACAGAGTTTAGCTACATTACATTACACTGTTGATAAAGCCATTATCAGAGTTTTGCACAAAGATAACATTAAAACTCTAGTATAATGTGACCATTAATCAGTACCATGTGTTCAGACAGACAAGTGTATCAGGTTGCTGGTCTTGATAGTTTGTTAAAGTGGTTATGATTATCTGTGCCCCAGAGGAACCATGTACTTGACGCCTCCAAGTGGCAGTAGATCTGTTGTTAACACAATCATTTCTATATATATCTATATATGAATAAAGTTCTAATTATTATTATTAATTATAGATTTTGTTTCTGTAGCTGAAAACATGTGGCAATCACATCACAGTTCTGGTGATTGACAGTGAAAGTGAGAAGAAATACATACAACACGGGATCCCTATCCTACCCTCCATGGCTGCTTCACACAATCTACCTTTCAAAGCCCGAAAAGTCCATCTGGTTTCTGGGCCTGAGGGCTATGGCTTCGTCCTTCGACTGGAGAAGACATATTCAGGACTCAAGTGTAAAAATACATCAAGAGATTAAAGCCTCACACAAAAGCTTTCAGATCCTAAAAACAAAATCTTCTGTATTTGTTTTCAATAACAGATCATGTATTGCATATAGATAAAGGCAGTCCAGCAGGACTGGCAGGTTTGCAGGACGGAGAGTTGCTGCTGGAGATAAATGGAGAGACAGTGCAAACACTAACCCATGAAGAAGTTCTTGCCCAAGTGAAACAGGAAGGACATCAAATCTGTCTGACAACCATCACTTCCCGAGGCCTGGAATTTTACACAAAGGTTTGTGCAACTTAACTGATGTGTATCTCAGTGAAGTTGGTTTTGAAGTATTTCAAAGTTAATACTACCACTACTGCTACTACTGCTACTACTACTACTAATAATAGCATTGTAATTCAACCTTTAAAGATTATTCTTATCTTTATACTCTTTATCAACATATTTTAAAAAAAACAACAAATTCTGCAGCTTGGCCTGTCACCTCTTCTCTTCTGTGATAACATTGCTGAGAGAATTGAACCAGTCCTTGAAGCAGAGCAGTCATCCAAGGAAGTAGCAGATCAAATTAAAGTTTGTGCTCTCCATAAAGGACCATTGGGGTTTGGCTTCAACCTGGGTTGCTTCCCACACAGCCCTGGGATCTTCATCACCCAGGTAGGGTAATTATACAATAATTCACCCAAAACACATTACTACTGAGGCATACAGAATAGTTGGAAAAAAAGTGACTGCATCATTATATTTTGAATACTGACTTTTTTTGTTGTAGGTGGTGGTTGGTGGTCCAGGTCAGAATGCAGGACTAGTTATGGGTGATGTCGTGGTAGAAGTAAATGGCCAAAATGTTGAGGGGAACTGTCTGGAAGATGTTATTATGCTTATGAAGCAGGGAGGACACTTTCTTTCATTATCCGTCATGGAGAAGACCAGCTATGAAAATATGAAGCAGACTGTAAGACCAACAAGAGATATCCCTAAGGTAAAACAAAAACAAAGCAAATACTGAAGAACTAAACTGATTTCATACTCATAGTATGTCACTCAGTACATCAGCTAATGTTCTTAACTTTATTTTCTTGTACGTACTTATCGCAGCATGAAGACGATGACCAAGAGATTACTTATTTATGAGCAATCAAGATGCACATTTCCATAGATCTCCCTTCTCCCATCATGTACATTTGCCAAGGAGACTTCAACCCAACGTTGATAAGGTTTCCACAGTGTGTTCAAAGGACAAATAAAAAGAGAACTGTATTTGTGACTGTACTATACATTAAAGAGTTTCTTCCATGAATGACTTGAATTGTTAAATCATTGCCCCGTTCTTATAAATGTTTTTCATTCAAAGAGATTGTGTACATAGGACAGTAACATTTTCTGCGTTTTCTTGTGTAAATGGTCAAATACTTCTACAAATATTTCTACTATTGCTTTAAAATATTTACATTCAAACTAACCCTAATGTTCACACAGGGCCAGTTAAACTCACTATTTCGTAAGACAACATGACTGTTTCCACATATGTATTTGTTTGTATAAAAAATATATAGAATAATGTCATTATATATGCTGTTTATTTTCTGTAAAGACATAAAGTTAAATTTAAAAGAATCTGATTTTTTTTTAAAGAATTGGATTCCAAGACATTTAATGTTTTTAGAAATGAAGTTAATTTTTTATAAAAGCTTAAAGTTCAAATCTAAAGATTTAAATGTTTTAATGCCTTAGACAATATTAAAGTGTTATTCGAAAACATCAACAATCCACACCGTGGGGTTTTTCTGTAAAGGCATTTGTCTGGACAGCTATATGCACGGGTCCTTCTACTGGAGGTGACATTCAGTCAGCTAACAGAGCCAGGGGAAGCACTTAGAATCGGAAACACCCTAAAATGGCACAAGCGGTGCAAAAGCTGGTCGCTAAAGTACCTTCAATGGTCGGCGGTAAGTTATCTTGTTGTATATTGTTAGAATTTACAATTATTAGGGAATGAATGAGCGTTGGTTGTGTCGTTTTGCATTGCTTATATGTAGCCAGGCCGAAACTGTCACATAGCCAGTAACTATTAATTGAATGGATAAGTCAAAATGTCAGTTTAAATTTCCTAATTAGACTTGAAATCTATCATCGTGGCTCAAAGTTTGACGTATCGAAGTTACCTAACACAAATAACTCCATTGTTTTCCTTTCCTAAACATTAGCATTGTAGCCTAGCATCTACGTTACACATGCGCACGTAAGGAAATGTATGTGTATCTAGATTCGAACTCGAGATGAGGTCGTGCAAAGTCACTGAAACATGCAACGTTGACAACTTTTCTCTCTCTTTCTCTTAGCTACTTTAAACTACACCAGACCTCGACTTGCCACCTTCTGGTACTACGCCCGTGTTGAACTTGTCCCCCCGTCACCAGCTGAAATCCCCAAGGCCATTGAAGGGGCCAAAAAACTAATTCATGGATTCCAGACAGGAGCTGTCGGTCAAACCACAGTAAAGGTGAGTTCAAGTGTTATCGGCAGAAGAACAGCTTTGTATTTGACAAAATTGAGAACCTACATACAATGGCAATACTAACTTGATGTGTTTAAATAACTCACTTGATGTATTTCTTACAGGATGCTCTAAGGAATGGACTAGTGGCCACGGAGGTATTGATGTGGTTCTATATCGGAGAGTGCATTGGCAAAGGAGGCATCGTTGGCTACGATGTCTGAATTATGGACTGTTGTACCTTTTCTCTTGTAGACCATTATATGTTGAAGTCCCAACCAGAATGCTGTGAATTAATAAATTGGCATCTGTTCTTTAAAAACAAGTTTCTTGACTTAATGTTTAATTTGCTAAAATACTTTTGTACTTTTATTGTGGCTTGATTTTGACATAAAGGTATGTACAAGAGAGCATGTATTTGAAAATTAGCAGTATGTAAAACAGCAATTCATGTGTTGAAGCATCAGGAAGGAAAGCAAAAGAGTTTTATACTGTTATGAGCATAAGCCGTAACGTGCAAAATTTTGTCCTTCATCCTTTCAAACATGTACACTGCTGGAAAAAAAGAAAGGGAACACTTTGAAAATACATTATTTATCAATGTGAAAAAGGGTTATGTTGTATATCTATACAGATATGGACCCACCATCAAACCTGTCATGCTGAAAAATGTTGTAGGCAGCCTAGCGTTCTTCTTGTCTTTTCCAGACTCTTTACTTTTTCACATCCAACACAGGTGCTCAGGGTGAACTTGCTTCACACCAGTGGCCTGCTGGAGGTCATTCTGTTGGGAACGTGCAGTGCTCAACCTGTTTCTCCTTGCACAAAAGACCACATATTAGTCCTGCTGATGGGGTGAGGACCTTCTACGGCCGTGTCCAGCTCTCCTTCAGTAACTGCCCGTCTCTGGAGATTGTGCTGGGAAACAAATTAAATCTCCTTGCTAAGACACATGTGGATGTGCCATCCTGAAAGAGTTGGATAACTTGTGCAACTTCTGTAGGGTTAGGGGAATCCCCTCATACAGCCATTAATAATAATGACTCAGATCAAAACCAGCAAAAAAAAAAAGGTCAAGAGGGAGAAACTTGACCTCCATGTGCAAATCCAGTCCTGTTTTGGGAGTATTCTCATTGTTGTCACTCTAGTACACCTGTTGTTAATTCCATCATCACCAACTGAGTTGAAACTGATTAACAACACCCTCTGCTACTTTACTGACCAGATCATTATCAGAGAGGTTCAATTAACCTCTGTGTGTAGCCTGCTGTGGGCTAACCCTTTGAGCAGTAATTCAACTATACGTATATTGTATTCCAACAATATTCATAAGATTCTAATAATACTCTTACCAATATACCCAGTACACTATACTCAGTACATTATACTTACAAACAAACATCTACTGGATGTCCTCTCTCTTTAGCTAACCAGTACAAATTCTTCTCTCACTTTGCCTTTGTTACTGCTGTCTCAGCCTCTCCTCTACCCAGACAGCATTCCTGTCTACTTGCCTCATCTCCCTGACTATCCCATTCTTAAAAATCTTTTTGTTATCTTATGCCCCCTTCCTAAAACAATACTTAACAAAAAAAAAACTCATCTTCAATCATCTGTCCTTATGTATTCTTGTCTTTCACACCATATTATCCACATCGCCTTCTCTCCGTCACCAACATGTCCGTTTGGGTCTGCTCCAACCACTACTCTCTCCCGTGCGGGCACTCCTTCTGCCACATCATCCAGCTTACTGAAAAAAAAAATCGTATTTCTCTTCTGATGTCCAACTTGTGGTGCATGCACACAGACCACACCCAGGATCAAACCCTCAACATCATCAAGCCAAATAGTATGTGAGTAAGGGAGAGAGTGAGTCGGAAGAGTGAGCATCAGTCTGAATTGAAACTGCGACACAGGCCTTGTTCAGGATTTTAAGTAAGGCACAATTTTAAATAAAACTGACATCAGACACACAAATGTTTACTAAACCCCGGTAAAGTTAATATTGCATAAAATTTACTTTTTAATATTATTTTACTGTGAGTTTCTATGCCATAATCAAAAAGCCTGCCGTCGGTTCTATTTAATTTAACGTACTGCTTTCCATGACCTGTTTCCATAACTAACCAACAGGGGGAGCCATATTTTCATGACAAGTAAGTATTGATCCTCCTTAGCAGTTAAACGGACACGTATTCCTATTCTAGCAAAGAACATTTAGTCCAATCTACTATAGTTCCATTCTTAACACACCGTAGTAAAAACACCCGAGCTCTTGGACATCAATTATCTCATATAGTTCTTTATTTTTTCCCCCATAAATGAATCATTTCGTTACAAAAGTTACAACCCATAAATGAATCATTTCGTTACAAAAACAGAAGTTCTATTTTCCAGATGGATGTTTGAGTTGTGTGTTATAAAGGTAAGCCTAAACAAAATTAAATAATTGTTAGTTCAAGTGAAAAAAGCTCAAGTAATAAAACAGATGTAAATAATAAAATGTGATAAAATGAAATAACAATAAAAAAAGCCAGGATATTACCTGGTAATACATTAACAGGATAACATGAACTTTTATTTTTTATATAAATGCAGAATATTTTTACATTTCTAATCCAATATTTGCCAACATAAGGAAATACAGGCTTCAGTAATAATAACATCATCGTGGTCATGTGACAGTTCTTTAATTCAGTAAAAACTGGACATGTAATATTTCAGAAATGTAATATCAGTATAATACTTTTGTGTATCTTGTGATTTTGTAATAATGTAGTAATTACATTTTTTCAGAAAATATAACAAACAACAAACGAAATTGTGTTGTGATAGAATATGTGAAAGGTAATAAATGATGAATGGGTTTAAAAATACATGAATCTACAAACTTAAAGAATTCCCTTAAAAATTACAATACTTTTTAATTCATGTGATGTGTTGTATGTTTCAGGAAATATAGTGTACATTCCCAAATGCATTGATGTGTAATGTAAGAAACAAACAGGTTTTTCCAGACTTTTTTTAAATGTAAGCTCAGATATTTTCAATCATTTTAGATTGCAGATTTTTACTGAGGTGCCAACTCCAAAGCCTGCGTAAAGAGGCTCAACAAATGTGGTTTCAAACCTGTGCAGCAGAGTCATGGTGTTGCTTATGCTGTAAAATGCCAGCACGCCTGCACTGTGGTCCAGGTACACGCCTATTCTGGGCGAGTGGGGGCCACTGACAGCCTTGTCTACCCGGTTGTGCCAAGCAGAGTAACCTGAGTCGGAACAAAGGAGACTCCAGGATTTGTCGTTGTAGCCCAGGAGACAAAGTGAACCTTTGCCCTTTCTGCTGATGCTCTTGTAAGCAACGCCAATGGAGAACTCCCCATTCCACTCAATCTCCCAGTAGAAGCGGCCTCCGAACAGGGCTTCTCGACACAGCACTTGGGCAAAGCTGTCGAAACGCTCGTGGTTGTCTCCATAAGGCTGCAGATCCCGGGTGCGGATGACTTTTCTGCTGTTTTCAGAGATCAACAGCTCTTTGTAAGCTGTGCTCTGGTCCAGTTTCATTTGGTAGAAGTCTAGTGAAAGAGGAATAAAACCCTTTTTATTCAATTTATTTGAAAAAAAGGACTGATGTAATCACACCTAATGTAAAAGCGGTCAGTGGATAACTTACATTTTAAAAAGTCTGCCCTGCCCTTCGGCTCTGAGGGAGGAAGGCTGTTCATGATCATTTCTTTGCCTGCAGATGAAGATGCAATCGTTAGCCACGCAACGCACCCACGCACATGCTTTAAATTCTTTTTCAGGTGTTTTTAGAGTTTGTAAAGGAGGTATGTATGATGTAACTACTGTGTGACTTGATTGCAACCATTAAGGTTCACTCCACTATCAACATGGACAATAAATATCTGTGAACAGAGCTGTATACCAGTATATGGCGTGATAGTGCTCACCTCTGCTCTTCCTGTCCAGTGTTCGACTTTCTGTAGTGTACACTGGAACCTCGTTAACTGCAGAACAAATTGCATTAAGTTCAGTATTTTTTATCGTATCATTCATCTTGAAGTGTAATGTTTCTGTTGATTGAGGTCAGACCTGACTTGGAGATCTTGAGCAGCTCCTCTCTGCCAAACTCCTCCAGACGATCCTTGATCTCAGCCACAGCTTTTCTTACAGAGCCAAAGGAGAAGTCTGGGTTGACTGTCACCCTTGGAATGAAGCCATCATCGGTGGGAGTGCAGAGGTAGTTAAAGTTCTGGGGGGAAAAAACAGTGGTGCAATAAAGATGGAGAAAATCTTTCATTTAATTTATATAAACACGACGCACACATTTACTTACAATATACATATAAGTTTGAATTGTAGTTTAGTGAACAGCACATGAGATTGTTTTGTTTTTATACTGTCAACACGTTTGGAGGAGATGTAATGGTCTCAAATGTTATTATGATAATGATGATGACAGTCATGACATCTCTACCTCAATCTAAATAGTACACACAGCATTACTGTACTGCTTTACCTGCCTGGTTACTTATTGTGCATACAGTAAAAACACTTAAACATACGCACATGGATTAAATTACAAAGTCAAAAATATGTTTATGATGTGTAACAACTGTATCAACTGTTCATCACTGAACCTGAGAAAAAAAACCCCAAACAAACCCTGGGTTTATCGGTTAACTAACTGGACATTACCTGTAAGAAGTGGATGTGGTCCTCGGTGCTGTACAGCTGCTTGAGGCCCGACTCCTTCTTTTTCAGTTCATCAATCTCTTGTTCCAGACGCTCAATCAAAGCTTCCGCCTGGTTGAAGGCGGCCTTCTCGTTAATACCAATCAGTTTGGTCACCTCTGACCTCATCCGCTCAATGGAGCGAATCATATCCTCAAACATCTTCTGACTCTCCACCATGGCTCTCTGGGCGGAATTCTACGCAGCACAAAGACCACAGGTTATAGAATCTCACACACAGCTGTTTTGTGCGAAGGCAGTTTTTATCAACACGTCCACACCTTCAGTGAATCCACTGCCGTCTTCAGTTCTTCCAACTCCTTCACTCTCTCCTGGCTTTTTTGTCTGATCTCAGCCTGGGAGACTCCCAACAGTTTCTGCAGAACAGAACAGAGAACAGCGCAGCTCAGCCCTCTGTTTACCTGTTATCCTTCACGTACTCTCAATTATTAAAACAGATACAACTGGTTGTATTCCTTTAATGTACCCTTTTACAACAAAAAAATTGTTTCAGTCAACATTCTTTCTCATCATAAAATGTCAGCGGAGCCCTGTGTCTGTAAGACCCCACTTAAAGAATGTTCTTAATACAGCGAGCCTTTATCTCAGATGGAGGGAGGTGAGTGGAGAGTTGAGGAGGGGGTTATTAATGGAATTCTGTCAGGAATGCAAATCTACAGCTGCCTGGTTTTTTAAAGAGATGTTTCAAGGTGCACCCAGGGCTGACATGCAGAACAAGGGGTTCTAATTCAGCTTTTACTCAAACCCACCAACCCATTCTTCAAGATAAGCTTGAGGAATGTGGGGAATCTACGGGGGGAGAGGGTTGGTAGGGTGAGCACAGGAAGGGGGAGGGGAGGGATGGAGATGGAGGTGGATGTGGGAGATTTAGGCTGTAAATTTTTGGATGAAAGAAACCAGACTCCCGATGTAGTAAAGAGAAAAACTGGGATGAATAATTACTAAAACACGTTTAGGAGCTCCAATAGTCCACAGTCACGGCTGCGATAACAACACGACTCCTGAATCATCCATGTACAAGAACAAGGCTTGCGAAACTGACCAGTTACTCATGTGATGCGGAGGGCCTTGACTCCCTGACATTCCAGAACCATTACAGACCCACTCCCACAGGTGGGAGCTAATTCAGCAGAAGGCATGGTCAGTTTCTGTGTATCCATCCCTAGGCTGGAACAATGCATTTCTCTGAAAAACACTTGGACATGATAACTGAGAGACACTCCCCCCTCCTCCATACAACTAATCAGAGAGCAGGATTTGTTTTGGCGGTGAATGCCTGCCAGGATAGCTGATAGCACTGGTGAAATGGGTCAAAGTCCAAACGCCAGTTGTAGTGCATCAGCAGCAGAAGTTGGGGAAAAAACATTGTCTTTCTTCTTAATAACCCCACAGGCTACATACAGTATTAATTACCTTGTGATTTCACCCACGTAGTTATTTATCTCAACAGAGCGAATCATTGTTGACTTGTAAAGACTGAATTTTCTTACCTGTTTCTCGCTTCTCTCCGCCTCAGCAGAGACAATGTCGTGGCCTTTGTGCTCACTGACCGTGCAGATAGCACAGATGCACATCTGGTCTGTTCGACAGAAAAGCTCCAGGGACTTCTGGTGCTGTGGACAAATCTTCCTGTCCAGGTTGCCCAGCTCGTCCACCAGCTTGTGCCTTTTAAATGTGGCTGATTCATAGTGAGGCTTCAGGTGCTTCTCGCAGTAGGACGCCAGACAGTTCAGACAAGACTTAACAGCCTTCAGCTTCTTCCCAGAGCAGAAGTCACAAGGGACATCGTTTGATCCGGCGTAGACATTTCCCTGGGACGTGCTGAGGTTGAGGTTCAGTCCGCTTTTTTTGATCTTTTCAGCCACCATGCTCAGAGTGGCATTGGGACGAAGCACAGGCCTCTGGGTGAAAGTAATCTTGCACTGGGGACAAATGTAAATCCCTGTGTAATCAGCCTCATTCCAGTAGCCACTGATGCAGTCCATACAGAAACTGTGGCCACAAGGTATAGCCACAGGGTCCCTCAGAAGATTCAAACACAGGGCGCAGCTGAAGTAGTCTGGAGAACTGTGGTCAGCCATGGTGATGGACTTGAGACACAGTCAGACCTGCAGAGACGCACAGAGAGAATGCCACAAGTAGATAGTTCTCGTTCCACAGTGCCTGGGAGCCCGCCCTCACGAGTTTGGTACAGCCTGCCAGGGACAGGACCTACTTGTATTTCTGAATTCCAGAGGTTATTGATTGAAAGCAGACAAGGCCCTCCCCCTGTGCTTTGAGTATATTGAGCCCTGCCCAGTTTAGATAAGCAGGTTCAGCAAGGAAGGAGAGAGAGCAATGGAGAGACAGAGGGCGGGCAGAGGAGGGAGTGAGAGACAGATAGAGTGTGGGAGAGAGGGAGTGAACAGGGAGGGGGGTTAGAGAAATAGAATAAATAAAACATGAAGAGAAAAACAAGTGTCAACAATGAGTATTAAAATGCTTCCATTTTTTTCCTGCAGCTTCTGTCACTCTCACATTCCTCCACCGGCTCATCTGTGGATGTTTTCTGCACACATTTCTCGGCAGCTGCATTTCCACCTATTGTTGTCACACTGAATCGCCATTGTCTTAGACCGGTTGTAGTCCGACAAACATCATAGTGGACGAAGGTACTGTAGGAATTTAGGGGAACCGCCCAAAAACAAACATCCCTTCTTAATTCTTCTTTAGGCGCCAAAAACATACGATGTGTTTAATTTACTGTAGTTGTTTTGCCTCGAGGCCTCATGGAAGTCTGTCATATTTACACAGTGGCCAGTTGAACCAGTCACATGGGTTACACACTTGTGTAATTTGTTCACTGTACATGTCAGCAGTGAGACGGGCAAACACCTGTGCATGTGTGCACTGAACAAACCTTTTCTGTCAGTTCCCAGTGTCACGTTGCCACTGTTTAACGTAGTGTGTGTGTGTGTACATTCACCATCACAGCTGTTGTATTTTTTTGCAGTCTTCCCATTTTTCACTGCATGTTATTTTTAAAGAAGTGTCCGCTGACGTCAGTGCTTCACATTTACATTTCAACACAGCCGTTTTGAACAGGTTTTCAGACGTACTATTATCCCATTATAATAATGAAGTAGCGCACTATTCATCCCTGCCTCGATTCAGTATTGTGCCAGCCACAATGAAATGTAAATTGGGTTAGTTATAAAGGACGGCCCCACCTTTACTACATTTTATGCCTTACCTAATGCACAAGGCAGTTTCACCTCTCCATATTTGGTCAGGTTTCTGATAAGCCAGTTTTCCTTCCTTCCTCCACAGTACATGGAGTGCTGTGAGCTTACAGATTAACTACCTGCCAATGGGAAAGACAGCTGGCCACAAGTTTGACTTACATTATTTCTAGTATCACATCAAATGAAAATGCATCATTTATACAAATACACATGGAAACATGAACAGCAATATCTGGAGTAAAGGGATATTTAAACAATTACAAATTAGTACAAAATAGTTTGACCTGTTCACTGAGAAGTTGTGCCTCTACTTGTCATTGTTGTGTGATGTTTACTGACCTCGTTAGTTGAGTTCAAGTTGAAGATAAAGGTTGAGCTCCAGTAAACGACAGAGAGAGCACGTTCTGCAGAAACCAAAAGAAAAACAAAAAAACAGGAAATTAGATCAAAGGAAGTATGAACGTAATTGACCGATACTCTGAGTGTATATTCAAACATGCCATGGAATATCAGAGTAAATAGAAATTGCCGGAGGGATTAAGAATGAGAGTGTTTACAAAATGACAGAATGAATGTGAGCAGCAAAGAAGCAGAGCCCAGAGCAGCATAAATGTCCCATATCCCTGAGTTTTCATTTGAAACATAGTGAATATAAAGACCAAACACAAGCAAAAGGCGTCTCTGAATCCATTAATGTGGTGAAGTAGGACGATAGCCTTGACAAAAGGTGAGTCAAAAAAAATGATCATAAAATGTTTATAAAACATTTTAAGATCAGTAGATCTCTCAGTTTATCATTACATCTTTGTTTAACACTGAGCTGTTTCATTTATCACACCGGGGTTTTTAATGAGAAAAAATCTCAAAGTAATTAAAATGCTTCAAATGTAAAAGGAACTTAACGTTAATCTAGTCACAAAACACTGCTGTTCTTTTGATTGAAAAAAATCCAATTGTCTTTTTTTACCCTTGCATAGATTTATTTGTGAAGCAAGGTTTTCAGTAAAAGTGACAGATTAACATTTCAATTCTTGTAATTCTTCAAATTTTCCAAGGTGATCTTCATTAAGTGAAAGCTGTGCCTCTTTTTCCTTAAAACAACATTATTTTTGTTTATGTCAGCAATTGATCACTAAACAAAAATCTTACAACAGAATAATTATTATATACTGTTCTTTACAATGACAACATGTTTTCTTAAAACAACTTACGCTTACTTTTTGGTGAACAACAACAAATCTAAGGTCATTCATTTTGGTAATATCCAATAATAGGATTAGAATGGTACAAAACTCATGATATTTTTTGTTGCATGTGTTGAAAAAGTTCAGATGTAAAATCTGACTGACTGAGGTCTGGTGTCACATCAAGTAAAAGCTTTATTTCTGATTGTAGTGGTGGGCTGCACTTTACCGTGGGAGTTTTCGATACTTCCTGGTCAAAGTTTCTCCAGCAAGTCAAACTTCTTCACTTAATGTTATCTTGAGTTCGCACACATTTCAATGATATCTCTGCATTTAAATGCATCTACTAAGATTAAAAAATATCAAAGTGAATATATTCATGTTTGAAGACTGTGCTCCTGTCAATGGAATCTCTCACTGAATAATGTTCTACATTTACTGTTTCATGTCAGCTGTATCTACAGCCGTTGATGGACAACAGGCCCTGTAGTGCTTGGCTCTCAGTTCAGGCCCTGCTGGCTCAACACAATGGAATCTTTTAAGAAGGTTTTCTCAGCCCTCCTGTTATCTGGGCTATCAAGTGTAGTTGCATTCCTAGCTCCATTTCAGCAACCCTGAAATTTCAACTTAGCAGAGGTGTGTTCACTGTAAGGTGGACATTTCAGAGATAGTATTGGAGTTTAGGGAAAAAATGTGTTGGTATAACTTTGAAAATGTTAACTGCATATGACCAGCAGTGCTGAGTCAGCACCGCTGTTGATACTTCGTATCGACGTCAGGAGTAATCAGTGTCATTTAAATGCAGTGATACAGAGTTAATTATTAACTCTTTAAATGTGAGCTGAAGGTTGAATTTCTTCCTTACCAACTCAATCTAAAGACCACAAGCAGATTCAACTTCATGCACTGACTCTGCATCACAACCTGTTGTGTCACTGATGACTCTGATACTAATGGTACGTTACAGCTTACCACCAGGAAAGTAGCTGTAGTATTACAGTTCTTAGTCATGGCTTAGAATACAGTGACTTTAGGGCAGTTTGTACTGTGCCTTGATTGGATGTCATGTCACTTGTCCACAGGGAACAGTTTGTCACCGGGCAAAGCCTAACAGTCAGCAACTAAAGTACACACCACACTGGAGTCAGGAGTGACTCCAGTGTGGTGTGGTGCTTTTCTTGCAGTATTGAAAAAAACAAAAAACAAAAACGCATTTGCTTTTTGCATGTGACACTTTGAATAGTCAAATAAAGTACATACTGTGTGTAAAAGAAAAAAAAAGAGAGTCATCTTCTGTTCTTCTTTGATTGTGATTACTCTTTAATCTAATTAAAATCAAACCAATAGAAACCTTGCTTTCCACTACAAACCTTTCATCTCTCAATCATTCATTCACTTCACATTCTCTCAGAGTCATTTACTGCGTCCTTTACTTGCCCCGCCTTTGTTTTACTGGTTTCGGCTTAACCAGTTTAGCCTCCCTCTTTGTTTACGCTATATAACCTGTGACTGTAGTACCTGTGTGATCACTTTGCATCTGTGCTGACACAAGTCACTGTCTGCCTTTACATCCTTGTTACTGTGTTACAGGGAGTAGCACCCAGCTTTCTTCATGTCTTCCGACCAGGAGAGCTGCTACCTGTGTAAGGAATATCTCAGGGATCCTGTGTCCATCCCATGTGGCCATGTCTTCTGCTCCATTTGCCTGAAAACCTACTGGGACCATGCTGACCACACAGGCTCATTCATCTGCCCACAGTGCAGGGTCACATACAGTAAGAGGCCCACACCAAGACGCATGACGAGCTCCCGGAGTTCGACACTACCACGCAATTCTGAAGCCTTTCCACCGCCGCCTCCGTCTCCTGACTACAACTATGCAGGACCACAGGACGTTGGCTGCGACATCTGCATTGGCAAGAAGCACAAAGCCATCAAGACCTGTCTGATGTGCCTGGCTTCCTACTGTGAGAAGCACCTGAAGCCTCACTTTGAGTCTGCAACTTTTAAGAGGCACAAGCTGGTGGATGAAATCGGCCATCTGGACAGACAGATCTGTCCTCAGCATCAGAAGGGTCTGGAGCTGTTCTGCCGCACTGATCAAATGTGCATCTGTGTCCTGTGCACGGTCAAAGAGCACAAAGGCCATGACATGGTGTCTGCGGAGCAGGAGAGGGCCGAGGAACAGGTTAGTGACCGTCTTCATCTAGGTTTTTGTTCATTTGGATCAGTTTTGATACAGTAACGTGATGTAGCTTTGAAAAGACAAGTCATGCATGAAAAAGCAAAATAAATATGTGGAACCAGTTATCTGTACCAACCCTCAAGCGTTGTCTGAACCTCACCCAGACCAAAATAGTTTATCTGCGTCCATGTTTGAAATGTTACGCAGTTCTTTTTTGAGTTCAGTCTGTGATTATGAAGGCTATTGTTTTGTCAATTCTGTAAATGTGTGATGAGTGGATTAAGAACGAAGGGATTTGTGTTGTCAATGTAAACAATGCCTGTTGTTCTTTTCATAGCAACGACTGGGCGCCACCCAGGCGGAGATCCAAGAGAAGATTCACGACCGGCTCAAGCAGATGGAGGAACTTAAACAAGCAGTAGACTCACTAAAGGTCTGAGACTCTGTCATTCATCATCTAGATTGAACCAGATTAACCACTGTGCTGTTGAAGGAT